CAGCAATGTATACTGTAATAAGGTTTTATACCGTGCTGGTATTAGGTAATTAGAGTTCTGCAGTTACTTTTTTTTATCTACTGTTAAAATACAAGATATGTAAGACAAATGTAAGGTTTTGAGGCTAAGTAACGAAGATAGTTACAAGATACGAGCCAGGTGGTGTTGAGATTGCAAAAGGGATTATGATAAGAACTTAAGCCAAAAAATCAATGCATAAATGTTCGCAAATGAGACTGGGATTTATTTCTCGAAAAGTTAACAATAAAATACGCTTTCTAGTTCTTTATTTTTTAAATTAAGACCAGGGAGGCTGTCTAACGAAGCTGCAAGCTAAAACGCCGTTATCCTATAATGTTCATCTGTAGCTTGACCCTAAATACTCGTTTATTGAACGAATTTATTGTTAGAGTTCATTAGGGGAATTAACTTTGTTGAAGGCAGAGTTTCCAACAAATACCTTCCTGTGATTGGCTATTGCGGGGAATGCCAACGCTTATATGAATAAAATGCAAAATAAGAAATACGTCCTTTTGCTCAATAACCTTGTTGTTGTACAAAAGAACAACAATTTCTGTTTTATACAAGACAGAAATTTCCATCTAACTGAATAATGTAGACCAATAAGAGGGCGGAGGCATTGTATCGCCGATATGTTTTGCGTGAGGCAACTCCCACTGATGACGTCACAAGTTAGGTAGCCAGCCCATGTTTCCCTACCCGAGCACAACAACCCGCCTTATGGGTTGCTGTTTGGCTATTTATAGTGCGTTGGAAAAAAACTAGATGGCGTTAGTGGTATTTTGTGGGGTAATTTGTTATAGGTGTAATTTGATGTCAACAGATGGCGTAAGCTGTATCTTATGGCCACTGTTGACCAGCCAGTTGATAGTGTTCTCTTCTGCCGACAGATGGCATCAGCTGTGTTATTATTACTTCCGAATTCCCTTTAAACACTGATCTACAAATCCCTTGGCTTATGATAAGGTTTTATACCATTTATGATAAGTATTAGATAACTGGAGTTCCGCAATTACTTTTATTTATCAACTGTTCAGGATATCATCATATAATGTCTGGTTAGGACATACTGCTCTCGATTGATGAAGATTAAGCCACCCAAGAGGTGGCACGGGCATGAATAGCCCGTAAATACTGCTCTCGTAATATTATTCAGGGGGTGGGGGAACTATCAAGTGAAAGCGCCAAGCCATTACGACTATATAGCACTCGGAAGGGGTCAGGATACGGATTTCGGATTGAACGGGGGAAAGGAATTTTGCCCAACCTCTTGGGCGGTCGGGGATTGAACGCGGACCTGTAGGAAACGAGACCGTCGCTCTACCGTCCAGCCCAAGTGGTTAAGCGTAATATTATTAAAACAACAATTTATGCATATAATAACAGCATTTCACACTAAAAATACTTGGATATATCGAAATTTGGTAGTGAATTCCAATCTAGGAATCTCCTATGACTAAACTGTACTTTTTAATTATTTTTATGTACTTACTACTTATTGTTAAATTATTAAGTACTTACTATAATAATTAAATTATTTAATTAAATTAAATGATAAAATAATAGGTAATAATAAATCATTGTGTAGGGGGACAGGCAGCCAGTGTGTATATATACATGTTAGGCTTATACCAAGGTCCCACAAAGGTCCCACAAAGGTGCCAAATTAAAGACTGGGTGCTGCCGGGGCGGGCCCAAGGGCTGCTGGCGGCCCTGGCCAGGCTGAACTTCCGCGCCCTTATAATCACCATTGTTTAATAATCTTCACATGAAGAAACAACTGTAAATATAGGAATAGTTTATTACAACATACACGGTAAAGAAAACAGCTCGGAAACTAAAGAAATAAAGCTGTCGAAAAAAACATTGAAGTCCATTTCAAGTTCAAGTATGTTTATTGTCGGTTCGTTCATGCTAGGCTTGCAGTTACACAACTGGTCGGGGTCCGCTTACACAAGTGGTCGGAGTTCGGGGTGCACAATAAACCACCACTCGCTGGTTGAATGGGGAATGAACTATCCACCTCTGGCGGCAAAAAATCAATGTGTGTGCAGAAATAATATTAATAAAACAATTAACATCGTGTAGTGTACTCTATATATCAAAATATATTGCTTTGAAACCCATATCATTCACTAAAAAAAAATGGGCTACTCAAATTACAAATTCGCTACTTTTAGACCGTCAGCTCGCTACTTTCAGCAATTTAGATCTGGCAGCCCTGGGATGTACTTGCTCGCTGGCAGTGGCGGGGTGTGGTCATGGCCGGAGTGGCTGGTGTGGCCCTTTTCCTCTAGCTAAGTACTCTTAATTAATGTTGAGTATCTGGGTTAGTTAGCAATAGCTTCACTCCTCACTTGTAACTATAGTCTCGGGCCGTCGCACAGGTTACAGATATTTTATTTTCTCTTGTATTAAATAATATACAGTACGAATGTCATATATACATTAATTATATTTTATTTTCTCTTTATTAAATAATATACAGTGCGAATGTCATATATACATTAATTATATTTTATTTTCTCTTTATTAAATAATATACAGTACGAATATCATATATACATTAATTTACAAAAGAATTGCTACGCCAAGACTAGGCTAGAGAGATGTAGCGCGTGTCACTGGTTCAAAGTCGGGAGAGTAAGTGTCTTGTTACTCCCGTAGCCAATGAGACGGGCTGACCTACATAACTTCATGCTTGTTTGGCAGTTCTCACTGGCCAACGTCGTCTCGTAAACTTTTTCAAGGCTACTCGAATCCGTTTGAATACGCGTTACCAATAGCGACCTGCGAAACAACACTGCATGTCTGAAAACTATCCTATACATGGATAAGATGGGAAATAACTCTCACAGGTGATGTTTCTCTTATGAAGAACATTTAATAATTAACAAATCATTTATTACATCAATGGTGAGTCGCACAGTTACTAGTCTTGCTGCACACCCACCCAACATGTAAAGCTGCAGCATCCTGGGCGGCAGCTTTACATGTCGTGTACATGCATTACCTACTGTAAGCAAATTTTGGATACTTCGCTAAGATTCCCGGCAGCACATTATGAATGAAGTACTTACACATTTCTTGGACACCATTGATGGTGTTATCTCTGAATTCTGCGATTTTTTCACATTCCATTATATAATGACGCAAGTCATGAGAATAGTTCTGCTGACAGAGTTTACATTTAGTCAAATCTACATCAGCAGATGTTACAAACTCCCAGAGGTACTTGTAGCCGAGCCTAAGCCTAGCAGTGGTAACATCTAGAAGTCTACTAACTTTATTGGATGACCAATAGACGTGCGGTTCTTCTTACATAATAGAATGATGATAGATAGAACTGGTGTGAATTTCACATTGCCTCAAGTCTACGAGACTTTGTTGATGTTACCGGAATATTACTGCCCTCAGACTGCTCAAAGGCAGTCCAAGATGGTAATCAATTCTCTCTTTATGAACAAAAGTCTTGGCTAACTCATCAGTTCTATCATGCATTCGGAGACCAACATGGGAAGGAATCCACAGGAGACAAACTCTGACTCCATCATTGATTATTTCATTATATCTGTGTCTAGCTTCAGAGATAAGCCCGTCACAGTTATGCCCTGGGAAGCTGAGGATGATCCGACTCTGAATAGGAGCAGTCTCTCGTCACAACTGTACTTAGGCAGCACCAATTGAGTGGTGGAGGCCTTGTGTAGGGACTCATGGGTACCCGAAAATGGAACAGCCTTACAGCAAAACAAATTAGAAATAGAGTTGAACTGGGCTTAATATATATTTTGTAATATATAAAACACAATAATCACATTGAACTTCAAAAATCTGCACTACATCGTATCCTTAATGTTCATGATAAAATTCTCGTTGTCGAGGTCACGTTTAGGCTTATTAAGGTCCTCCGAAGCCAACTACCGACCTACGCCAGGATGCAATCCACAGCAGTTGTCTAATTTCATGATACCAATTATACTGCTTGGTGAACAGAGGCATCAGATGAAGAAAACAGAACGTCTTCCAACTGTTTCTGTCCAGCACGGAGATTGAGCCCAAGTTGCTGGGTTGTGAGTCGAGGATGTATCCTACTGTGATTCAGGACCTATTTTGTAACTAAGGCCTATAAACGGAAACTAATTTCCTAGTATATATGAGAGACTGTGACAAACCGCTGGTTTCCTGTCCCCCGTCGAAGCCACTAGGAAGATGTTGACCCTCAGGTAAATGTGTCTTTCCTAATTCATAAGCTTATGTCTTTTCAACCATGTGGAGGGTTATTAAGGCCACGACAATAGCTTACTGGCCAACCAGCAAGAATACTTAACTCCTGAACATTATCCAGAACTAAACTAAACTCTCAAGCGTACATATATACACCCAGAAGCAGAATACATCTCTGGAATTATATATTCCCGAGAAAAGTGAGGTACACCTCCCTATGTACATACCGTATGCATTCCATCATATCTCCAAAGTGTAGTATGTAAACTTACCTATTGCACTACCTCCAATCTGTTTTTATATATTCGACTAAAAACATAAGCAAATTACTCATTTTATGTTCGAGCTCTTCAATTTATAAACATACTTATTGTCTCTCTATCGCCACATTTATTCTCATATCCAAACAACTTTGCTCCTGTTTGTGTTTTTATTCTGATATTTATCTAACTTGTAATTGAAAATAATTATGTAATATGTAGTATATAACACATTGTATATGCCATGCACATGCAGGAGTTTAATTCATTAAAATTATGTTATTTCATGTAAAAAGATAATAATTTCCATGTATTGGCAGTATATTTTCATGTATTGGCAGTATCACTCAAATGTCCAGATATGCCCAAATACAAATATTCGTTATAGCAGTTTAGTGTTTATAGGTTATTAGTAGCGCCTTAACACGTTAAAATTTGTTTTATTTGTAAATGGCTGTATCTAGAACTCAGTGTGGTAATAAGAATAACAGTAGACAGCATTATTAACTTTATTAACTTTTTTGGTATCGTCCAAATTACAATAAGTCTCTCGGTTTTAGACTATCCACCAACAGGCGCATACTGCCTCGTAGAGCGTCCTTATGATCGTTAACTGCTCTACATAAAATAATTCGCTTGGTGCTAAACTATTTAATCAGTTTTGGATTTTGATTTGGAGGAAAAGAGGCAAGAATAGCAGGCTATTACTAGACGTAAGAAGATGTAGAGAGAGAAGAGCTCAATTACAAGCACAGTTGCCCAGACGTCCACATTGTACAGCTTGTACCTGTAATGAAAACATTGTTAGTGAGGCAAGAAACACAATATTGACAGACAAGTAACACAACCTCAACATTTGATAGGAAAGTAAGGCTGAAGTAAAGTAACAAAACATTTTATTTAAATTATAAATGGATAGTTATTAATTATCACGACACATGAAACGTAACCACAGCGTTGGTTATGTTTTCACAACGTAAACACAAAGTTGTTAACGTTTTAATGGTATTACAACATAATCACAGCATTGTTAACGTTATTACAATGTTGCTACAACAAAACCACAACATTGTTAATGTTTATTGCAACGTTGTTACAACGCGTTGCTAACAGTATTACAACATAACCCCAACGTTGGATGCATTATCACAACATAACCTCAATGTTTGAAACTGTATCACAACGTTGTTACCCGTTATTACATCATTAATGTTATTACACCGTTGCAATAACGTAAAAATCACATCAATAACATTTTGGTTTTGTTGTAAAACAAAAAACTAAAGTTTTTCAGTGTTAGTTTCCCGTTGTCAGGGAACGAAAGCCAGCTGTTAGGTTTATTGAGGTCCTACCCTAAGCCAACGACTGACCTTACCCAGAATGCAACCCACAACAGTTATCAAACTCCCAAGTCGAATCTGGAACTTTATGTAATGCTGACCACTGCATTACAGACCACTTTATTGTCATAATACATACAGGGAAGTGCCTGAATTAATGTGCGTGTATAAATGTTGAAATTTAATACATTTTTGCCAAAAATCTTGCAAAGTTCTTCAACTGAGTTTTATAAGCTAAACAAAGTTACCATTCATAAACATTTTCAGTGATCGAACTTACTTTCACCTTGGACTCTGAAGAACTGGACTGCAGCCAAAAGTAAGCTGCTAATGAGGAGCTACAACAAATGACTTCCATTATAAGGTAAAATATTTCTGTAATTCCTTTTTTTCTACACCTGATCATGCTTCGCTCATTATATTTACCTAAATTTATCTAAGGGCCACAATCTCCAGTGGGGACTGTTTCATGGTATTTTACGCTAATACCATGACACCATGTTCCTGGACACACTTTTATGTGAAATAATATACTCCTCTTTGCTGGACCATACGTGGATGTTTTCATGATGTACTTTGACAAACTTCTCCAAGAAGATCTGGATCAGCCAGGCTGTAATGGATATGTGGGCCACTAATAGCAACAACCAATGTGATATGATCAGAGTAGAAGAAAAGAAATAGAAGAACTCTTAAAAGAAATAGAAGAACTCTCGGAACCTACTACAGGTAAACTACCACATAAAATAAATGGAACAGTGAGTGATCGAATGATACTGACCAGGACATTTCGCCAGCAGGGCAGCGGAGATGAGGGGCACCGTTGTGCCTTATAGCATACTTGAGCCAATAGAGTGCCACTTGAGCAGGATCCTGTGGCTGGTCCTTCATTACCTTTGAGCTTTCTTTAACCTCGGCTTTCATGCTGACTCGTTCACAAGCGCCAAGCAGGGATTGGGTCAAAATATAACATTACTTAATGGGAATTGAAATTATGCTAAGTTCATATCATACTATGCACTGTTTAAATCTGATATTATATGTGCAAACATAGAAACATTGCATCTACTATGTAAAACTAATTGCAGTGTAATGGCTCAATATTCTCAACTTTGTTATTCGATAAATACAGAGTATTGCATTTATTAATACAAATTTATATAATTTCCTTTTATCTTTATGTATATCATTAAGGTTTAGTTCCCATAGTAATTCCCCTGGAGAGGAAAGGTTTCCAGACATCCTTGTCTAAATTATCTGAATAACCTTTCTACTAGTATAAGCTGGACGATAGATGTCTCAAGTTTTCCCTGATTCCATGTACGACTAACCATGCTGAGATGAAATTAGGTGAACTTATAGCTAGATCTATGCTCTTTAATCTCCCATTCACAATAACATAGCAGCACGCTGCTGTGTACCAAAGTTTGTTGATAACAAATTGACAATGCCTAGTCATCACTTGAAAACTATGATTGTTTTCAATGGGCATAAAATCTTTGATTTGATCGTCCAAGTTACCGATTGCAGCTGGTGTTAAACTTTAAGAAGACAGACTATCTTGCCAGCATCTGTCTTGTTTTACAATCTAAAAGCAACATATCAATTCACAAGTGTTTTCTACAGGCGCTTATTTATTCGATTACAATATTCTTATATATATGTACTGTTATGGGCCTGCCGTTCATCTTTAATTTTTTTTCCTCTTCCTACTTCACAAGACATCCTCTCGCATTATAGATGTGTCAGACGACCCAGAATAACTTTAGATAAAATTAGGAGTATGTAAGTAATGTATTGATCCATTTTTTATTTATGTTGAATTTACGGGGGAGAGGGAAGGAGCCTATCCATTAAGGATCAAAGTCGAATTGGGCGCCTCTGTAGAGGTACTGGAATCTCTTTGGTATTGTTGCTAAAATGTTATTCATTAAAGCTAAGCTTCAATACTCAACACTTGGAGGTGTAATATTATACCTGGAGTCATTCATAATCTTGTTGATCGTGTCTCTGAGAGACTCAGAGGTGAGCTGTTCCCATAACAACACACGTCCCCGGCCGTCTCTCTCCACCTTGGCCATGTTGCCTTGCTGGTCCCCGAACACAGGCATGCCCAGCACGGGTACACCATGGTACATGGACTCCAGGGTGCTGAGTAGACCACCGTGGGTGATGAACAAATGCAGGCGGCGATCACCTGTAGAAGGGTGATAACGAGATAGATCGTTCGTTATGATACCATACATGAATACTTAACTAAATTCCCAATTTAAGTAATAATATGAATACATAATTTATCAGAATCAGAAACTTTATTCAAAACAACTTATACAGATCGTTACAATTCTGGTTGGACAGAACAAGTATACAGCAATGTAAATCAAACTTACATTTTTGTTTGCATTGTGCAAACTCATACTGTTGTTGCTGTCCTTTTTTACCTGGAAAAGGCATACGACACCACCTGGAGGTTCCATATTCTGTCCCAACTCCGTTCTTTTGGTCTTCGTGGTAATTTTCCTCTCTTCCTGCAAGGCTTCCTCTCTGGTCGTTTCTTTAGAGTGAGGCTTGGTACCACTCTCTCTACCTCTTTTCGGCAATACGAAGGTGTGCCCCAATGTAGTGTTCTTAGCACTACTGTTTTCCTGGTTGCCCACAATGGTCTTCTTTCCTCTCTTTATTCTCGCATCTTCTCAGCTCTCTATGTTGACGATCTAACCCTTTGCTGTCAAAGTGATGATTCGCCTTTCCTTTAACAGCGGCTTCAATTTGCGATTGATGCCGTGTCGTCTTGGGCCACCAATCATGGCTTCAAGTTCTCATCAACCAAAACTTGTGCTATGACTTTTTCTCGGAAGCAGGTCGTTCTTCGTCCCCCTTTGTCGTTTTATGGTCATCCCCTTTTGTACAAAGATTCTGCTAAGCTTTTGGGGTTAATCTTTGACACTCGTTTGTCTTGAGAGATCACATCTCTTACCTCCTAGTTTAATGCTCTAAGGCCCTTAACTTACTTAAGGTCTTGTCTCATACTTTTTGGGGAGCTGATTGGCGCATGCTCTTCTCTTTACATTCCTCTCTCGTGCTGTCTAAACTTGATTATGGTTGCCCTGCTTATTCGTCTGCCTCTCATTCTACTCTTCGCCATCTTGATGCTCTGCACCATACTGGGTTACGCCTCAACTCTGGTGCCTTTCATTCAACTCCTACCCTAAGGTTGAAAATGGCGTCCTGTCTCTACAGGATCGCCGTGATCGCTACCGTCTTCGCTATCTTGCACAGTCCTTCCAACTCCCTCACTCTCGCTTATGTCGTGCTTTGACCTTTACCCCTCCTGTGGTCCCTGTTCCCCTTCACCACATACCTCTGTCTGTACGGTTGTCTCGCTTACAAGATTCTCTTTCGGTTCGTGTTACCAATATTTCTCCTCGTGTCGTTCCGTCCTTGTCCCCATGGAGGGTCCCCCTTTCGAAGTTTTGTAAAACCTTGATCCATGTGACTAGAGCTTTTACCCCTCCTACAGTTCTGAAACGCTTTTTCCTTGAACACTTTTCTTCACACTCCCGCTCCATTTCCGTCTTCACCGATGGGTCTAAGTCTGCAGGTGTAGGCTATTTTGTTGTTTTCCCTAACCACACCTGTATGTGTCGCCTGCCTCCAGAGACTAGCATCTTCACGGCAGAACTTTATGCTATTTTGTATGCTCTTCATCAACTGCTTTCTCGCTGTCAATCCTCCTTTGTTGTTGTAGTTGACTCTCGTAGTGCCCTCATGGCCCTAGAGTCCTTTAATCCAATCCATCCTGTGTTAGTCGAAATTCAACATTGGTTGTTTCTTATCTCCAGGAGATTTAAGACAGTGGAGTTTTGCTGGGTTCCCAGCAATATTGGTGTCCTTAAACGAGCATGCGGACGCTGCTGCTGAGGAGGCTATCCGCACTTGTCCCATTTCCCGTAAAGGTGTTCCTTATTCCGACTTCTACTCGGTTATTAATTCCTCAATCCTTGCCCGTTGGCAGGGTCGTTGATCTTCTGTTACTGGTAACAAACTGCAAGCTCTTAAGGGTAGAGTGTCCCCATGGCCTTCCTCCTACCACCGAAACCGGCGGTGGGAAACGGTTCTGGCGAGGTTACGTATTGGCCATACACGTTTAACTCTCGGACAGTTAATGGAGCACCGTGCTACTCCTCATTGTCCAAATCGCATTGTCCTTATTACGGTCATGCATATTCTTGTGTGTCCGGACTTTCAGGTCGTGCGTGTGTCTAGCTTCCCGACCGTCCCTCACGGTCACTTGTCCCTCGATGGAATTTTTGGTGAATCAGATACTTTGATATCGTTTCCCTTATGGGCTTTTGTTATCGTATTGGCATCCTTAGTGATATTTAGCGCCCTATAAATATCCCACACATTTGATAGTGCTACATAGCCTTCCCAGCTTGGTGCCTTCTTTTGATAATTACTTTTTAAATACTAGAATATTAATACCAATAACATTCAGCGTTCACAGTTTGATACAATGCACACAGTAGTGAACACAACAGATGCTGACTGACCGAGGATGTCTTGTTGAGGGAGCCATTTGCTGATGCGCACATTTGGGGGCAGGTCTTCCATAGTGTCCTGGTCCCACTTCCACAACACTCTCTGCTTGAGGGATCCAAACACTTCAATGAACGCTCTCCTGTACCTGTGCATTGTGAAAGATGTACTTTCATAAGTCTCCAAACTCGATACATTAATTGTAAGTGACTTTATCATCCTTAATTGCTCTCAACTCTTTAAGACTTAACTGTAACATGCTCGTGTCTGAAGCTAGACACACAACAAGATTATTAATGATGGAAACAGTCCATTCCGTGTGGACTCCATCTCATGTTGGCCTTCGAATACATGACAGAGCTGATAAGTTAGCCAAAGAATCTGCCTTTAAAGGAGAAATTGAGTATAACCTTGGATTGTCAATAAGCAGTCTGAGAGCAATAGTTCACCAAGATCTTGTAAATCCGAGGCAAAGTGAAATCGACACCAGTAATTCCATCTATCATCATACTATCATGCAAGAGGAGCCACACATCTATGGATTATCCAATAAAATCAGCAGACTTATAGATGTTACTACTGCTCGGCTTAGACTCGGTTACAAGTATCTCTGGGAATTTAAGGATACTCAATAAACTACCGCTATCGTAAATGAGTATAATAACAATTAGGATTTGAGAACGGAGTGACTGAGCTATGCCCAACCACTTGGTTCATCGGGGATCGAACAGCGACCCTGCACGAAGCAAGGTCGTCGCCTGTGCCGACCAGGCCATAAATTCAAGTGGAATATAAAGAGCTCTGAAACAACATACTCACTCTTCTGGCATAGTGGATCCTGGGACAACTGAGCCAAGACTGAAGTATATGAAGCCATCGTCGCCAGCACCTTGAACCCATTCCTCAAGATCCTGCAAGAAGCGATTGTTATTTGTGAAATATATTTCATAGCTTATATCTGTATCTATAAAATATAATTGTCCATGGGTGGAGGCCAGACGCCTGGGGCCAATCTCATCCAACTCTTCTAGATGACATATGGGTGGTGTGGGACTGTCATAGGCTGGTCGAAAGTCGGCCATAGTGTTCCCATCCTCATTTATGAATGATCAGCTACTATATCGAGTCCCAGCTACTCCTACGAAGTCTGAAATAGGGGTGATGTAGTGTGGGATATCATGTCGCAGTTCCTGCTCAATGAGTTTGCAACTGGAGTGCTCAGGATAGGGAGATCCGTCACCTACAGCCACCTGCCACAGGTAACGGTAACCCAACCTGATCCTTGCAACCACTGTGTCGCACAGTCTAGTGGACGTTTTGTGCTGCCCATAGATATAGGTTTCAGATCTGAACAAATCATAGCTTTTTATACTGCTTACCTAGCACCAAGCAGCTACCTGGCAGTTAAGGGACTGGTGAGGGTCTGTCTGTTACCTAGAGGGAACCACTAGAAGCCTAACATCTGTTTTTGACAATGGCAGATCATAATATTTCCTATATTTTTTCTGCTCCTGTATTTTTCACCTCACCGTATGAAGCAACTAAACTGTAACCCACCTACCTGTGGCAGAGGCTTTGCTGGATGGATGTGGATTCCCCCACAATACACCACGTTAGGCACGATTGGCCGCGCTGGGTATTCCATAGTTTGTACACTGCAAATTTGTTTTCTTTATGAAATAATATACAATATAAAGATCATAGTTACATCAATTTACAGCCTTTACGGTATTTTTAAGTGGAAATAGATATTGCAAACCCAAAGCACGTTGCCACTGTGCATATATTCAGTCTAAGGCACCAAGCGATCATTGTATCGTTCCCATTGTCGGGAACAAATCATTATACACCTACACTAGTGGGCCGAGTGCCGGCTGAACCACACTCTACGGCATTTAAGATGGCGGGCTTCTTTGCACTTTCTGGCAGCAATCTGGGATTCACAGAAGACACCCCACATGATAACTCCAAGCCCATGCATATAGTGACTATAGAACAGTGCACCATCTGGCTCGTTCACTCTGAGGTGAGAAACATGCTCAGGGCGCAATACAATGTACCACTCTTAAATGAGCTGTGGAAACTTTTCTCACAGTTGTTGTTGTTTTAGATTCACTAACTCGGAACAAAAGTTCCAAGTAGCACGGGCTATGGTGAGCCCGTAGTGGACTTGTATATTAGAATAGGTTTGAATTGGTTATGTTAGGATAGGCTACGATATGTTGTTACGATTAAAAGGTTATGATTTTGTTATGTTCGTTTAAAAGGACTACCGTCAACCTAGAGCGACATATTTTAGGCTGTTTTTAACCCTACTATATTACCTGCAACTGGTGTTAGCTAACCCCACATGTTATAATCTTCATTTGTGGTTAACCGATCCTACTGTTACTACTTACAATTGGGGTTGACTAACATAATTGACCTGAAAATGTTTGATAGCCACATTTGAATTGATTGTTTTGAAAACAAAATGTCAGCACAAAGATACTAATCAAAACCCGTTTAATAGTAAAAGAAGCTAATCCAAACCTGTATAGCAGTAAAAGAAGCTAATCCAAACCTGTTTAGCAGTAACAGAAGCTAATCCAAACCTGTTTAGCAGTAACAGAAGCTAATCCAAACTTGTAGAGCAGTAACAGAAGCTAATCCAAACGTGTATAGCAGTAACAGAAGCTAATCAAAACCTGTTTAGCAGTAACAGAAGCTAATCCAAACCTGTATAGCAGTAACAGAAGCTAATCAAAACCTGTATAGCAGTAACGGAAGCTAATCCAAACCTGTTTAATATTAATAAAAGCTAATCCAATCCTTTTGGTTACTAAAAGAAATTAATCCAAACCTGTTGATCAGTGCAAGACTTGCATTACGGCTCACTTCAGCAAACCCTGGCATATCATCTGGACACAGTCCACGGCTCCGACATTCCCCCTCCATGCTGGGGAACACAAGAGTATGTTTTATCACTATTAAATTCGAATGATTTTTTCTAATGTCATTCATTCGCAAAGCCTCTTCCTCTTAGGCCACCACACGAGAAAAAATATTTTTTGATACTCGAAAAGTTTAACGAAATTCAATGCAAATCAATTATACTGTGGCATGATTTTTAATTCATGATGTGGGATGATGCTGACGATGAGTCACAATAACGTGGCTGAAGATATGATGAGCAAACCCCACATCAGATGATGATCTGTCTGTCTTGGATCATTATCAACTCTGAGTGATGCAATCTCAGGACATTAGGCTATCACACGCCTTGATAATGGTCCAGAATGGACTGAAACGTGTTTTTTTTAATTTTCTGTGGCAAGATCTCCCAAATGTGAGTATTTTTCTTGAGTTTAGCTCATTTATTTTGCACCCTATACCCATCCTGGGTATCATGTAACAAGTTTCACTCCCATTTCCTCATCCCAAATAAGTAAATTTTGTGTTTGGCTATTACTGTGAATATTAAATATTATAAATATATGTACCGATGCTAAAATTACAGATTCTATATTAGAGTAGTCTTTGCCTCTTATCATTCATTATCACTTAAAAATGGTATACCATTTGCTATAGTTCTTGAAAAATACATTTATGTTGGCTTACTTCTCATTTAATATTAAGTGGGTTACCCCATCGAACTTATAAATCATTTAACTGAATTATTGTAAGTGTATTTTAAGTTATGCCCGAAATGCTTTGCGTATTGTTATTATTATTAGTAGTAGTAGTATTATTGTTATTATTATTTTACATACCATGAGGAAGCGTAGGTGAACATAACATTTGTTGCAATTTCGGACAGCGTGCTGATTGCTCTCTCCACGAAAGTCAGGGGATGTCTTGACGATAACAAGAGAGACGGGTTATATGACGGGAAGCTGGGGTTGCCCATCAATACTGGCAAAGGTCCCAGCAGCCCTGCTGGGCTCACAAACGCAAAGGGAACCTGGAAAAGAAGAAATATTACAATATGGTTTCTCATTCTTTTTGGAGGGGGAGGGATAGGTTAGTCAGTTAAGGTTATCGAACCCAAGAGCATTTGGTTGTGAACCGAATGCGTTGACTACTGTGCTACAGAAAGCTACATCAATGAGGGAATAAACTTTGTATAATTTTGTGACCTTTTAATTGGAGTTTAATTCATATTATCATGTGAATAATTGTTTGCATTGACTTGAAACTTCCACCGCTTATGAATGCTTGTAAAACTAATCTTTATTTTGAAATAGTGCGGTGCAGCTTCCAGTGGATGTTTGAAGGTGAATAAACTGGAAGGTGGCCTCCCAGTCAATTGCTTTCAAATTTAAGTCCCCAGTCAATCACAGTCGTGATTTATCTTTATCTGCTTTTACTATAATCTCTCTCGTGCCCATTATGAGACCCTCTCGTTTGTCATCTAGGTCCTCATTTGTCCATGTGTTGCTTACTGGTGGGCGGTAGGCATTTACGATTATCAGTTTATCATCCAGATTCCAGGCCTGCAATGTCATTATGTCAACTTCTCGATGGTTGTCGATTATTAATTCTCTTACCTTCAGGTGTTCTTTCACCAGCACAGCCACGCCTCCTCCCTACCCCCTTCCTAGTTTTCCTATCACGTCTCCAAACTGAGTAACCCCTCGGGAATACGATCTCATTTAAAATATTTTAAGTTTCGTCTCTGTTAGTGCGACTATATCTGAGATCTTAAGCTGAATTTTATATTTTAGCTCCAGTATTTTTTTATCTCACTCCATTTATGTTGGTATATACATTTTTCTGGAACCTGTTCCCTTTCCCTTTGTCCTTTGTTTCTTCCTCTAATGATTTTGTTGTTTTGTTTGTATGTACCATTTCACTAGCTTTCCAAAGTGTGTTTACTATTCACTATTATATTATACACACTATTCACTAGTGCATGTGTGTGTGTGTGTGTGTAATTACCTTAGTGTAGTTACAGGATGACTCCTGTGGTATCTCGTCTTCCCAGCACTCTGTGAATTATGACTTTGAAAATACTAATGGTTTTTGCCTCCACCACCATCACCGCCACCTCACTTAACTTGTTCCAACCGTCTACCAGTTTCTAAAACAGAACGTTCTCATATTTTTCGGCACCTTTGTATTTTTTATCACTGCGTATTGGGTTTCAAGTTTATTGGGCTCTACAGTGTCGAGTACTGTTGAATACCTGTACTGTATCTGTACAATTCAGTAACTGATAATTAAGAAAATATTAAAATCGAACATTGGAGAATGTCTCACCTTCAGCTGATAGACCACTGACAAAAAGCAATCAGACATAAATGCGCTCAGAAGAATGAAATCAAAATCCTCTTTCAGCAAATTCTGAACCTCTTCCTTTCCCAGAGCATCGGAGCAGAGTTTTGGTGTAATTGATATCATTGTCATTGGAGCAGCCATTCGATTTCCAGTAAATAAATTTGGTGTATAATCTTGTATATCTACGCCGACTAAGGTCACCTCACGCACATTCTCTCGGACCTTAGTAGGCTTCACTGAAGACACCATTGTAACCTGTAAATATGTAAATCAAAATCAATAATAATAAATTCAACCATGAATGTAGCTCGACTGTTGTTCGTTGTGGGATTTATTAGTAATACAAATTTCACTCATCTGAGTCAAATGTTATGTTGATTATATCCAGGCATATATGAGCAGCTTACATCACATGTGTCAAGGGATGTACACTGAAGTGTACCCAGTTTCTCTATATACGGACCATATATAGGCGGGGACCAAAGAGCCAAAGCTCAACCCCCCCCCCCCCCCGCAAGCACAACTAGGTGAGTACACAGAATTTACTTTAGTCCTCAACTATGTTCAAGACCACATAGACCTACTTCAGTATTACTTATTTCTTAAGTCATTTTCATATAAGGTCAATGCAGTTAACATTGTAGCTGTCTCATCTACATGCCAAAGTTTGTAGCAAAAGAAAGTTGTCTTATTTTTAGCAAAATAGGCATGTAAATATTACTTCTCATCTTTTCCTAGAGTTGTATTGCATTTTATTGTGGGCAAGACCATTTAAATTAAATTTGTCTGAACAGTAAGTAAGTATTTACTTAAGAACCTTTGAACATAGCTATTTTTTTTTTCCTAAATTAAATTGCTTTCTTCCCGTTGTCTGGGATCTCACCGACACACCATTATATTTTTATATCTCTCCGTCATCTAAGACTCACTTGGTTACCATCACCTACGACACACCAGACTACCACCATCTTCGACTCATCTGTTACCATCATATTTGACCCACCTGGTTGCCATCATCAGCCAGGGCGTTGACAATGCCCATATAAAAGTTCTTGTGACTCCTAGAAGAGAGAGGTCCCAGGAAGAGGAACTTGCTGGCCTGCGCCACCTGCAGTACGGCGCCGCACGCCACCACCATCACCCACAACTGCATCTGCAGTAAACATTGTTTGGGATCACTAGTGCAGAGAACCTAATAAGGTTGAATATTCCTCGCAATTCACAGCAACATCTTATATGGAAACTCGGCATCTTATGTAGCCGTAGCGACCAGTGAAGTACATTTATATATCAATTGATCTATATGTTCTTAGCAAGAACAGTTGTGTGGATGTGCCTATGATGTGTGTATGGCTGAAAAAGTAGCTAATGTTAGATGAATAATGCTTCATAGGACCTGCCACAAATTACTCATTAGGTCTACTGTAGTGTTCATTACCTCCTTGTGTCCTTACGGGGGTAATAAATCTTAATTAATCACTGTATCATCAACTGTTTGACACAGACTGAAGAATCACTCTAATACAGCATCGGAATGTTTCGAAAGTAGCTTGAGCGAAATTACCCACTGGTCATCAGTATGTAATCTTATCAGGAGTTTCTGATAGCTCTGGAGATCAAGCAACGTCTTATCTGCCTTGTTGAACCCACACAACCTATTATAATAGGCTGTTGCTACGCTGAACTGCCTCAGAGCGTAGGCTACCTATTATAATAGGCTGTTGCTGCAGAGTGCAGGCAACCTATTATTTGTTTGTTTATATATACAAGAGTTCTTACATTCTTGTACAGCCACTAGCACGCATAACATTTCGGGCAAGTCCTTAATCCTAATTTTCACACACACACTCACACATGATTGACGGTTGAGAGGCGGGACCAAAGAGCCAGAGCTCAACCCCCGCAAGCACAATTAGGTGAGTACATAATACATTCCCAGAAAGCAGTTCATAGCAGCTGTCTAACTCCCAGGTACCTATTTACTGCTAGGTGAACAGGTGCGTCAGGGGGAAAGAAACTGCCCATTTGTTTCCGCCTCCGCCGGGGACCGAACCCGGTCCTTTAGGACTACGAACCCCGAGTATGCTTGTCTGTTTGAGCCAAGCATATAAAGGTCATCTGATCATAAATAATAGTATTTATATAGTTTATCGACTTACAACCGAATGGTTCCGGGTTCGACTCCCGGACATGACGAGATCATTTCGACACGTTTCCTTACACCTGATGCATCTATTCACCAAGCAGTGAATAATATACCTGAGAGTTAGTTAACTGTTGAGTTACATCCTGAGAAAGGTCTGCCATTGGCCTTGTGTGATCTTTCAGGTTTTCTGCTCCCGACAAACCAAACATCAAAATAATGAACAAATCCACAAGGGCCGTGACGAGGATTCGAACCTACCTCCGAGAGCATCCCAGACGCTGCATTAATCGAGAGATCTGCAGGATCCAAGTAAGTTCTGTAGAACTTCTAGTTACAATTATTTTGACCATGTAGCTCAGTCGATTAAGGCAGCGTATGGGATGCTCTCGGACGTAGGTTCGAATCCTCGTCACGGCCATTGTGGATTTGTTCATTTGATTCGTCACGCTATTGTGATTTCTGTGTGTAATCAAAATAATAACTGATATTAAATAGAGTGCACAAAATTAAGTTGAGGTAAGACAACGTTCTCCTAGTTCTCGTCTGCAGTATGCCTTACTAGATGCAAATTTTAGGAAATAATCATTAAAAAAAGTATTAATAATTCCTAACCAGAATACTTCAATTACCCAATAACAGGAATATTAAAGGCGACGAGTCACAATAACGTGGCTAAAGTATGTTGACCAGACCACACACACTAGAAGGTGAAGGGACGACGACGTTGACCACAATCGACTTGAGAATGGTCCAAGACGGACCAAAACGTCGTCGTCCCTTCACCTTCTAGTGTGTGGTCTGGTCAGCAATATTAAATATTATATATTACCAAAAATGACGTATCTCTAATGTGTAGTAGCGCATTACTACTGAGCTCGTTCTGTCTGTTCTTGAAGATGAGGTGACACGTGCATATTTCTAATCTAGGGGTGATTTTCCTCTATGATTTTGGATTCAATTTTATTCACGCCTGAGACTTTAGATTTATTTAATTTGCCAATCCTCTTCCAAATTATTTCGCACATTATGGGAATATATATATATAAAATACAACACATAACTAGCTCAGCACAAACATAAATTATTTAACTGAAAGAACTTAATTTTGGGAAGGCGTTGGGGTTCATAATATATTTACAGAACTAAAAGGCACATTAAGTGTTCAAATTACCTTCGTAAATTGGAGAGTATAAGCACTGTTGGGAGAGCCAGCAAGGCACTGGAGTACAGAGCGGCTTCTGCAGTACCTCAGGTCACACTGGTAACTTTAATCTTTTTTTCAAGACAAACACTCATAAGCAACATATAATCATGACCGAGCACTTATTACAGAACGCGCAACGCCATTTCAAAAGCAGTGCGAGAATATTAGATATTTTGAATACTGAAGCACGAGGCGCTGCCCAATTTGGATACAAAACATTCAAAAAAGAATGTTTTCTATATACTTTCTGTTTTCCGCATGGATATGGTATTTGGATAGAAATAAAAAAAAATTGTAACTGCGCTAGTATGCCAACAGTTAATTCGACCGGATAAGGATATCACATCCCTGGTAGGATGATGCAAGATGAATATAAACGAGATATTAACGAAAAAATCAACATGATAGCACAAAAAAATGAGTTGACATCTGTAGGAACAGGCAGGATCTACACTGATGCTTAAACTGATCCTATTAATGTACAGCAGTGTACACTGTAATTAGAATAATGTCTTTCAAAACGGAAAATATAGAAAAAGTACGCATTGAGAGTTATGCCTCTACAACGTGAGCAGAGCTTACGGACAATATTATGGTACTATATTAAGATACCTAGATGGAAACACAATAGTGATATGCACTGATTCAAAAGCCTCATAACAAATTCTTAGAAAAAGCAGGCAAAAAACAGAGTGATAATCGCTGAAATCAAGAGAGCTATTAAGATACTAACCAATCAGGGAAAGGTGATCAAGTTCCCCTGGATTCTCTCCCACGTTGGAATCTGTGGAAGATTAAGATGGGGCGAGGAGGGAGGGGGAATTATCAGGGGAAAGCGCCAAGTCATTATGAATATGTAGCACTTGAAAGTGGTCAGGATTTGGGATGAGATGGGGGAAAGGAATGGTGCCCAACCATTTGGACGGAGGATTGAACGCCGACCTGCATGAAGCGAGACCGTCGATTTACCGTTCAGCTCAGCCTAAGTGATTGGGCAGGAAATCTGGAAATAAACGAGCAGATGTGCTGGCTGCTTAGCATCTGCTGCCTGGATTATCTCGTCACTGGTCATGACCCTCTAAAGGAATACCTTTTTGTTTTTATAGAACTGCATTTATAGAATAGCATTTTTGCATTTATAGAATTGTGGTTCTAACAGAGGACGTGAGCAAAGCACTTGTTCCGGAAGTATTCGGACGTCATCAGTTGTGAGTCGTGTGTAAACTGCCTTTCAATCATAAACATGGTGTTTGGCGACTGGATTAACGAGCTAGGATATTTATTTGCGAGAACGGACTGCTCTGGTAATATTAAGGGTTCAGGTAGGACAATCGGGTTCGTTCTCGACTCACAATCTTGAATTTCGGCGGGACAGGGATGGTTGGGCGCGTTTCCTATCACCTAATGCTTCTATCCACCTAGCAGTAATTATGTACCAATAAGAGTCAGCATGTTATGGCGTTGCATCCTGGGGAGGGTCAGTAATTCGACCCTAAGGGTAGACCTTGATATAAACCTAACATGTACTGTATGTATAAACTGGCTGGTTGTCCTAATGAATTATTATTCATTAGGATAATTGTTACCCGAAACGCTATGCGTATTAGTGGCTTTAGGTAGTGTATATACTAGCTCTACCTATAAATCCAACATTATGTTTGTAACTATTTTACTATATATGTACCTTTACCTGAATAAAAATCTGAATCTGAATTTGAATTATTAATTATAATGTCCGCCTTGTGAAAAGGAGGAAATGTATATGTTTATCTCTCAGAATGTTCGGTAATATGTTTATTGCTTGTGATGTGTGTCTATGTATGTATTAACACGATTTACTGAACGGGGTGAGAATAGCTTGAGCTACCTCATCCCTTTGTGTGTATTTTACCTCAATAAACTTATTTCAATTTCAATTTCATGTCCGCCTTGGACGATGGTTCGCGGGTCGGGCAGAAGGTGGCGCGGTCGGTAGTGGCTGATGCTGCCTTGGACGAGGGTTTCCCGGTGCGTCCGTCAGGCGGCGCTGGTGGTTTGTTTACCATATCGGCGTCGAGCCTGGCGTGACACTCCTTCCCTCGGGCTCATCTCAAATTGGGCTGAGGAACATCTGTTTTGGTGAAGGAATTGAACGTAGGCATCGTTATATTTTGCAGAAACAGTTCAAACTATCTAAAAGATAATCCTTGATTTCCCTACATTGACCGTGGGCTTGTACTAGGACTACAGATAAGAGTCGTGCAAATTTAACAAAATGTTGAGAAGAGTTTTGTTTCCTTTTTATTTACTTTAATAAACTGTAAACTGTTCCGTAAGGTATGTTGATCAATTAAGTCTTGTTGCACCACTTCCTTACTGGAGAGAGTTTATCTTGAAGTTAAGCGGGTCCAAGCATGGGGACTATGTTCGAAAAAATAAAATTAAGGTCAAAGTTTAGTTTAGTGACAAAAAATCGTACGTTGATGTAAACTAATATTGTCTGGGGTTTACAAAAATGATGTCAATATGGGTATATTAATTCTAAATGGATGTAGTGAAGTTTACTTGGCAGATGAAGAAATCCAGCTGTCATTTAGTGATTGCTATGAGATTAGATTTAAAGAAGCAAAATGCAACATGAAAAGCACATGGAAAACCATCTTTAATATCCTAGGAACTAAACAGCACTCATATAACTAGATAAAACTCTAAGGATGGCTATACACCTGCAACTGATTTAGAAATGGTAAATGAATTTAATAGCTTCTTTTCATTGGTTGGTGCTAACCGTGCCAGTAAAATTCCACAGACTCGGACACACATTAACACATATTTCTCGGGCAGCTATCCAAACTATCTTCTCCTTTCACCAGTCAGCCCGACAGATGTTGTGTCCATCATACACTCATTAAAAACCAAAGCTGGGAACATCAGTGAAATACCATCCATTGTATACAAGAGTGCCTCCCATGCCCTTGTGCCACCCATAGATCTACTGTTCAACAAATCTTTAGTGTGTTATACCTTCCCTGATATCCTTAAAAAAGCAAGAGTAACGCCAGTTCATAAAGGAGGCAATCCGGCACACACAAACAATTATAGACCAATATCAAACCTACCCATACTATCAAAAATATTTGCAAAAATTATCTACAAACAGCTCTGCTCCTATCTTGGAAAATTTGACAATTGGCCCCTGTCAATTTGGCTTCTGCTCCCAAAAAGAGTACCAACTATGCAATTATTAGTCTCCTTGATATAATCTACTCAGTCCTTGACAAAAATGAGTTTCCGATTGGACTCTTCATTGGCCCGAGGAAGGCCTTTGATACTGTTAATCACAACTACCTTGTACTTAAACTCCATCATTATGGAATCCGAGGCCATGCCCTGGACTATATCCGATCCTATCTTAGTGATAGACACCAATATGTAGCCTTCAATGATATAACCTCTCCCACTCTTCCAATAACTGTTGGAGTGCCACAGGGCAGCATCTTGGGACCTCTCCTATTTCTTATTTACATCAATAGTCTGCCTAATGTCTCTAACTTTCTTAAACCTATATTGTTTGCTGATAATACTACTCTCATCTACAAAGACCCCAACCCACACACATTTAATGTTGTGAATAATGAATTAAAGAAAGTCCACTTATGGATGTCAACCAACAAACTAACACTAAACATAAAAAAGACCTATTACATCTTATTTGGAAGCAAATCAACAAATGCAATTCAGCTTAAGATAGACAATGTTAACATCAGTAATAAAAATGATGGAAAGTTTCTTGGCATGTTCCTAGACAATAGACTCAATGGGGTTTTCACAACTCGTATGGGCCAATAAGCCCATATATGAATGAGCTTGGGAAAATATAAATACTGTAGGCAGCAGCTCCTATTTATATCCTTCCAAAGTCATATGTGGCCCTATTGGCTCATACAAGGCAACTTCTATTTATATCCACAATATAGATAGGAGCTGCCTTTTATGGTCCAATAGGTATTTTGCAGTTTCCTTAGTTCTCATTGATACATACATTCATTGATACATACATTCATTGATACATTAATTGATTCATTCATTGATATCTATATTCATTAATTAATTGATACAAGATTAACATGACAAATCAAGCAAAGCCCAACCCAAATTGCTTCACAGCCACATTAGGAGGAAAACAACAGTGAAGGAACAGACAATAAAAAGGCAGACAGGTTCAGAGAATGATAAGGTGGTGTGTGCAGAACTAAACAAGAGCTTGCAGGTCTTCATCATAGACCAAGAAGAAGTTCCTGAACTAAGAGGGGGGACATCTAACCAGGCACCACTGGAGGAATTTGAGATACCAGAGGTGAGGTGAGGAAGCACTTGCTTGAATTGGATGTGACAAAGACTGTTGGCCAAGACAGAATCTATTCATGGATACTGAAATAGGGAGCAGAAGCAATATGCTTATCACACTCAATGATATATAACAAGTCATTGGTAACAGAACGACCCAAATTTTGAAACACGGATAATTTAGTCCCATTATTTAAGAAGGGACACAGAAGACACTGAATTACAGGTCAGTGTCCTTAACAATACCATGTAAGGTGATGGAGAAGATCGTGAGAAAAACTAGTAGAACATCTGAAGAGAAAGAACATAGCACATTACCACCATGGGTTCAGGAATGGCAAATCCTGCCTCACAGATTTAATAGTTCTATGACTAAGCAACAAAAATTAGACAAAAAAAGAGAAAGGTGGGCAGTCTGCATATTTTTGGATTTCCAGAAAGCCTTGGACACAGTACATCATAAGAGGCTAGTGCATAAGTTAGACATACAGGCAGGAATAATAGGGAAGGTATTCCAGTTGAATAAGGAGTACGTAAGCAAAAGAAGACAGCAAGTCACTGCGAGGGGTGAAATTTCAGAGTGGCGAGATGTCACTAGTGGAGTCCCACAGGGTTCAGTTCTTGGACCTATCTTGTTTATCATGTATGTAAATTATCTTCCAAAGAGAATAGACTCATTCTTTTTTATGTTTACCAGTAATGTGGAAATTATGAATTATGAGGAGGAATAAGATAGAGGGAAACAGCAAGAGGCTACAAGACAACCTGGACAAACTAAAGGAATGGTCCAACAAATGGTTTAACTCGACTAAATGTAAAGTAACAAAGCTAGATGGAGGAAGCAAAAGGCCAGATGCAAGGTACCAGATGGGAGATGACATCTTCCACGAAATGGACAGAGAAGAATCTAGGGGTTGATATCACACTAAATCTGTCTCCTGAAGCCCACATAAAAATTATATCATCAGTGGCATATGTGAGGCTGGCCAACATCAGAACTGCCTTAAGAAATTTATGTAAAGAATTATTTAGAACCTTGTATACACATTTGTTAGACCAATCCTGAGGTATGTAGCTCGAGCATGAAGTCCATATCTAGTCGAATGCAAGACAGAGTTGGAGAAGGTTCAAAAGTATACCACCAGACTAGTTCCAGAACTATGAGGAAAGGTTATATGAATTTAACCTTACATCGTTGGAAGACAGTAGAGTTTGGAAAGATATGATTGCCACATACAAAATTCTCAGGAGAATCGATTATAGGGTAGAAAAAACAGATCATTTAACACAAGCGGTACTCGTACAAGCAAACACAAATGAGCCAGTGACATTAGAAAGAATTTTTTCTGTGTCAAAGTAGTTAACAAATTGAATGCACTAGGCAATGACATAAAGAGATGCATTTCGTTAACAAAGGCAGAGTTTGAATGATTACAAAGCTTCTTACTGCATGATATACATCCAAGGATGAGGTGAAGGTGAAGCACCTCACTTAAACGACCATTACATCTTGTCAGTCTCCACAAGGAAACGGCCTGAATTAATTTTAGCTTTTTTCTATTACTGTACTACAACATCATTGCTTGAAATGCTTAATGTTCCATTATTTAAATATTTGATTAATTTTTTTTTCAGTTTAGGTTTACTAGATAATTCAGTTGGTGTATATTTTGACTTTCACACACTGTCAACATGAGTGGAGATGATGTCATGAAAGACATGAAGGAACGAGCAAAGTTGCGTCGTCAGCTGCTTGCCCAACAGGTGAGGGAGATCTTGACAATCATTTTTACTAATAATGAATTGCATTATGCTTTTAATTTTGCCTTGGAAAATTATTTTTACAGAATTTATTTGGTATTTCTTTTCAGGAATACCCTATGGTCTGTTCAGACATGTACCCTTCATATATATTATACACTACACTCAAAGCCTATATTTTTATGTAATGTGATGTAAAACTGCAGATAGATGATTGGCTATTCTCCCCATACATAATTGCGAGCATTTTTTTCTGCACTGTATTAGAACCTTTTCTATATTTTTGTTATCCAGCTAGGAGTTGCCAGTGCAGACAAGCTGGGTCAGGCCTTAGGCAACATTGGCAAACTTCAAGATGACCAGGATCGCATAAAGAGACAAAGAAGGTCACGGCAGCAAGAAGAACTAGAAGGAGAGGAAGCCGCCAATATGGTGTATACAGACTCCTCTACATTCCTTAAGGTGGGTAAGAGTATCTTTGAAGATCACTTTGTAATTAGATTCATGCTATGCTGTGGAAAGAAAAAGACATGAAATAATCATAGTACAGTACTGTAATTATTATTTTGATGTCATTATTTATAATATGGCTTGAATAAAATTGTCTTTTGAATCTTTTCCATTTGTTTTCTACTTAAAGAAAAGTATTTTGCTTCATAAATATGAAAGTGTTTGCTTATAATTTATTTTTAACAGTTATCTATTGCAATGACTCCCAACCCATTTGCTATTTTTTCATTATCAAATTGTATGGGATGTTATTATGATGTACAGAGGGAATGGACAAATAATACATCTTTCTGCTCTCTTGTGCCAACAACTCTGCTTTTTGTGACCTCCTTGTGCTAGCCTCATGGAACAGCAGAGGCAACTCTGCCTTCAGGCACTATACAGCTTGAAGGCATTTACAGCTCACTTAGCTGCCAGACTTGGCATTCCAATACTTTATCCACAGAAGCTTCTCATAAATAATCATCCACACTGAGCTTTCTCTTCCAGGGAATCACTCTGGACACTATACAGTAAAAATCTTAACTTACTCTTCATAGCATACAGGTCAGGGGACCTTGGCCACAATATAAGCATGCTGCTCCAGTTCAACTCTGCTGCCTCTGGCCATGTCATCCTTGTTGCCTACACTAATTTATCACTATTCACCTCTTGACTTTCAATTGTTAAGTTTGTAAGTTTTAAAAGTTGTATCATATAACCCTATAACCCTGTATCATATAACCCTCATAGTTTCTTCCATTATTCTTCCACAGATACGTGTGCTCGCACACCCCTCACCTCAGTTTGAATATTGAATATTTTTGTATCTCAAAAAGCATATTCAAAAATTAGAAAATGCACAAAGACATGCTGTTAAATACTACCAGATTTACAAAATATGAACTAAAAAACAGAGGCCAAAACATAGTGTAGGATGTAATGAAATGCTCTTTTTTCCTCATTAGTTTCCATTAGTTTTTGTACTAGTATTTATTGGCCATGCCAGTTTATATGTGGAAAGCACATGGGGATCAGAGATCACCTCATTGCTGAGATGAACCAACCACAAAAGCATTGAAGAGAAATCACAAGCACTGTCTTCCTCCAAGAAATGTTTTGACCATCACTAAACTATCTAAACAAAGCTTTGACAAATAGCCAACAATCACATTAATGGTTGCAACACACCTGGTGGTGATACAGCCAACCCAGATCCTGGTGAGGACACCACCTCTCTCTTCAGCCAGTCTGACCTTGCCTACAGCCATGGGGAAGAAGCATGAGACTGCAGAAATGCAGAGATACTGAGGGGCAGCCCAGATAGAGTTCTTTCATTACATTCAACACACTTATTTCTTGGTGGCCATTCTCCTCACCACATTGTCCTGTTAGAAGTTACCCAACATTTTGCCCCAAAGCAAAGAAGGGAATCAGTCAAATAATGGAAGGGACTTGGCTTTGGCAGAAGCCCCTGGCAACAGGACTCGGGCCAAGTGCCATACGTTTGCATCAAGGACGAATGGGATGATATAAATCTGCCATCACCCAATTTGAAAGTTGTAAACCCCCAGAGTCTGATGTAGTTGTGGTCCTATTTGACAAAAGTGCAGCTAAAGCAGCATATTTGCAAACATGGATCCTAGGGTTTAGTTGAATTGCATGTTGCTACACCAGGATCAGAAGAGTGCTACTTGTTCCCTTGTGTGTTCTATAGCTGTTCCCGCCACAGCTATGGAACACTTAAGATTCCTATCCCAGTGCTCTTGGTATGGATTCTAAACTGCTTTGATCTTAAACAGACATTCTGTGTACCTCTTTAGTTCTTGATGGCTTTTGTATTTGAGGTTTGTGTCTCGACTGAAGCTTTCTTCTTTCCTCGCCTTCAAGTGGGTTGAGTGGTACTTTCCTCTTCAGGGTGAGTCAGAGGCTAGTATGATGCTGCTTTCACACTCTGGGGATGAATTTTGCTTCTTGGAAGGACTCTGCAGCCAGCCCCACCTCTTTCTTAGTTGAGGTGGTGGTCCAGCTTAAAGCATCAAGTGAAGAGGCTTCCTTTTGATCCACTTTGGTACTGTTCCCAGGAAGAATGGTACTTATGTCCAGACTGGTGAGATTCTATACCTTCCAGTTTTGCTTGAGTTTGATGCTTCTTCTTTTCTATCTCAAATTCAGTATATTATTTTCTGTTGGGAAGTAACAGTTTTTATGTGTATCTCCAACTTGACTGGAAGGAAGTTCTTCCTATAATATAATTAAGATTGGGGAAAATTTCCTTTCAGTCAAACTGGAGATGTACATTCAAAAAGGGAAAACTTTCTTCGAGTCAAGCTAAAGACGTACATTAAAACTGTTATTTTCCACCAGAAAATCTTCAATGTGGTGTTGTAACACGGGAGAGTACGTTCTTGCTTTTTAATCTGCTTTTACCCTCACCCTGTCCGTATTCTTTATTCACTTCTCAATACCAAGGGACCCCCAGAAGCTACACTTGAGCCGACCATTTCTTTCTAACCATTTCCAGAAGGATGTTCTGAGTCCATTTATTGCCCTTTCATCTGCATTTTCATGGTAATAACAGATAATGTGACGAGGGAACATCTACAGGAATTTTACCAGGTTTAGATCAGTTATTCCTAGGCATGGGTAGCATCTCGAGTTGTTACATATACTTGGCAAAATTTGTCTCCCCAGGAATTTTCTTGATAGCAGGTTAATGCTTATCTTGCTCCTTTGTGCTTATTTGTCAGTGCTTACCTATCAATGACTACAGGGGCATAAGATATAACTCTTTATGCCCTCTTAGCCATTTATACCTAGCACACTAATTACCCCTCACAATATCAAATTTTTTTGTCATATTTCTCTTTAAAGTTGTGGATGGAATTGAGTTCAGCAACCTTTTTAATTCATTCCACTTTCCCACCATCTATACAGGGAATAACAACTTTCTTAAATCTCTTCAATTCATTCACATATTCAACTTCCACTGATGTCTCCTTGTCCTAACTCTTTAATTTAAATAGGCTTCATTTATCCACTTTATTTATTCCCCTCAAGATCTTGTATGCAGTTATCATATACCCCTCTCTTTCTTCTCTCCTCTAAGCTGAATCCTCTCAACATGTCCTCATAGGTGATTCCTCTCAATTCTGGTATTAATCAAGTTGCAAATCTCTGAAATTTCTCAAGTTTCTGTTTGTTTCTCAATGTGTATGTTCCATGCTGGAGTTACATACTCAAGTAATGGTCTCACATACTCAGCAGTGTGTATAGACTAGAAAGCCTCCTTGTTTAGATTCTTAAATTACATTCTTATGTTTGTTAACGTCTCATATGCTGCAGTTATTCTGTTCACAAGAGCTTCTTGTGTTAGTGTTGGGATTATGTCTACTCCCAGATTTTTTCTTATTGTTTCATGTTCAGAAGTTCATATATGAACCCTGCGAGTTCAATCACCCCTCCTTTCTGTAGTAAAAAGGTTTTCTTCCTACATGAAAATGACACTTGACTTGTCTGGACTTGTCTGGAGTTAACACTAACATTCCAGGACTGGTTTATCAGGTGATTTCAAGTCACTCATGACTAAAGTGTCTGGATCTCCAGGCTTGGCACCATCCATCAAAGATTCAGGCATTAGTTGAGATTTCAGCTAGGTTATCCCTGCCACTTGGCAATCCCTTTTGGGCTCCATTTGGCACTGGACTTTTCCACTCACCAGAGTGGTTCTTTATGAGCAGTAATTCCTGGAAATGTGTGTTTCATCCAAACTGGATGACTAACTTCTTGGGGCCCACAGTTTCCTTCTGTCACCATTCAGATAAGTGAATTGATCTCTATTGTTGCATTTCACATCAATGCTGAGGAAAGGACTGCAGTGCTGATTGTGATGAAATGCATCACTTTCTTGAGAATTTTTTCTCTGTACTACAACTGTCTCAATAATGAAGTGTGGTAACCAGAAGGACCTTGCTCTTCAGGCACCCCCAACCTGACTTCCTGTCTTGCGCTTCTCACACAGAAGAATGCTGTTTGATATTATAAAAATGCTTTCAGGTTCCCCTTCAAAACTTCTTGTATGGACTTTGGACTTTTTAGGTCCATTTACCACTGTTTTTATGGGGGAACAGATGGCATCATTTCTCATTCAACACCTTAGAGCTTCCTCTTGTTGATAGTATAGTGTCGCTTGCCAGGATTTCCGTAGTTCTTTGCAGCCCACCAGTTTTCTTCCTTGTCGTAATCAGGTGTGGGTTTGGGTGTCTGTACGTGGGGCGTCATGGCATGCAGGATGCTTACCTCCACTGCTGCTCCACCTGGCACTACTATGCAGTACAGGTGAGTTGAGCCCTCTTTATGATTATTGTAACAGAGCTGGCCTGGCTATTGCCAAAGAAAGCATCTGGTATAGCTCAGAAATCAGGCTTTGGGTATACAGTATAAAAAAGCTACCTTCTGACCAGGACACCTGGTTACTCCTGCTGCTGCTGTCACTAGGTAATGGTCTTGGGTAGAAGGCAGGAAGGCCAAGTTGAGCTTGGAAGGGCTTTGAGTTTGCAAATGAACCTTCTAAATGTCATTTCAAGCAGGATTGAGTTCTCTCCAGTGCCTCCTTGACACCAGTAAGACTTGGCAGGGGCTCTGGAAAAGATCAATGTACAGAATATCAGCCTGCCATGACTGTACATAATACTGTCCATGGTGCCATCAGGACCTTGTTTTGTGAAGCAGCTCATTGTCATGTGCAGAAATATGTTTCTCATGTACCTGTACAGTATACTCTAAAATGTATATTATATTGTAGTAAGTTTTTTCTCTTAATAGGGCACTCAATCAGCGAACCCACACAATGATTACTGTCAACATTTTGTGGATACTGGACAACGTCCACAAAATTTTATTAGAGATGTTGGGCTGGCAGACAGATTTGAAGAATATCCAAAACTACGAGAACTAATAAAACTTAAGGTAAGGCACAACATTTGCTTTGGTATAAAATGGTTCAGGATTTCCAACATGATCTATGGAAGGAATTTGGAATGAGTTCTGGAAGTCATGTGGCAAGTTTTAACAGTGCCCTCAATTCGCACAGATGAACTTAGAAAACTGCTTGAAAATAAAAACCAGACAAATTTAATATAGTACCTGTATGCAAAAAAATAATAAAGGCATTCCAGACACCTCCCAGGTTCCAATTTTTTGTCATTCAAAATATAGTGTCAAGTGTTAAGTAGTCCTTTCTGAGAGGCACCTCAGTAGTTCTTCAAAACTTACTTTATTGGCCCTTCATGGACACCCACAAATGCCAAGGGGCAGAAACTTTGAGCCTCCTGGGATCAAGTATCGATGTCTTGCCCCCCCCCCCCCTTCCTATAAGAGTAGGGAAGAATATGGGAATCAAAGATCAACTCACTACCAAGGTGAATTGCCCAGAAAGCCAAAAAGTTTTTCCAAGCAATTCTCATCTCTCTGAAAGAGAGAGATTGGGAAATTCAGTGAACTCGACTAGTAGTTGGAGTAGGCAAACTACTCCTATCACATCATCCCTGGCCATCGCCATATCAAGAGATACCAGATCACTCGTCATCCCGGCCACTTTTCCCCCTTCACTCAAGATACAGCTTCCACCCCCACCATCCCTCTATATCCCCAGCCACACAGGGATCAGAGAAGATGGTGAGTATGGGGGTTATTGAGATACCACTGAGAAGGAAATTTCATTCCTCTTGAATAATTGTTGTTGCTCAATAAATAACAGTAATTGTTATTAAAATGAAGTTTTCTGATACAGCTGGGCCTTATATCCTCAGTGAGGCTTTATTACAAACAAATTTTGTGTTTGATAGGTCTTTGCAGAGTTATAATATAATAAATTATTTAAATAGTGATATAGAAAAATATCTTTATAGCCTAGATGTTCAAGATGCTGCAGCTAATGTATCATGCATCTGCATAATGTTGTCTGTAGTGTTTCATACTTTAAATATCTGGCCTAATTCACTTATCTAAACTTGTACTGAAGTATACAAATAGAGTATTTGCAGCGAGTTTTCATTTTCCAGGATGATTTAATAGCTACAACTGCAACACCACCCATGTATCTCCAAACTGATCTCCAAACATTTGACCTGCGTGAGCTACCTACAAAGTTTGATGTGATACTGGTCGAGCCACCACTTGAGGAATATCAGCATACAGGTGTAAATAACGTACAATTTTGGGATTGGCAGAAGATAATGGACTTGGATATTGCACAGGTAAACTTATTGTTATGTAGTAAGTTTAAATGCTGTTGTGCCTTTACAGTTGTGTATTATTGAGTGAATAAAGACCAGTAAATATTTTCTTGAAAGAAACGAACCATACGAATATAAATTTTGTTGTGAACAATGTTTCAGTATTTTTTTGTCCGGTGAAATAACACTAAAAACACTTGAACAAATTTGTTCATGTGATGCATCACGTTAGTGTGATCTCTGTGTGTGTGTGACTAAAAACACTTGTATGTGCTGAGGGCACACAGTCTGCAGAATTTTCTATCGAGATGATTATTCTGCCGATCTTTTTCAGATTTTTGGCAGTAGTTCTTGAAATGTAGTCCTATGTCTGTGTATCTACTTTCAGGCTGTCCAGTGCATCCCTGGAGCTTGGGTAGATAGCAAATTTATTCATGCAATATTGTGAAGGGGGGGGGGTTGAATGCAAGAATTGCTACACTGGTGCAGGATATCTTGTCTGTTGCAAAGGCTTTCTTAAGTAGTTTGGTGCATCATCTCCATGAACACTTTGAATTTTGTATAATTCCTATAATTGATTTAAAGTAGATATAAGGACTTAAGAGTTTTATATCCTTTGATTTTTGAATACATGTTGATTTGGCTTAGGGACAGCATAATGCCAGTATTGGGAAATAGATGAAGAGCAATAGTAATTCAATAATCTACATAATTATATTTAATATTGTAAGTATATTTGATACAGGTAGGAAGGGCTCCAAGAGATGGAATGGGGGGGGGGAGAAGAATTAGGGGAGTAGTTATGAGGAAATAAAAATGGAGAAGGTATTTATTCTTTAGTATTTCATTAGTTCATACTTTAATGGCGTTGTGATATTGTGGATGAATTTGAAAGAAGACTGCTAAGAGTAAGTGTGAAGAAAAATAAAGTATTGTGAGGGAAAGAGGAGGTATTTCCATAAGTGAAACAGAAGTAAACAGAGCAGTCTTAGAAGTGGTCAACCATTCTAAATACAGCCCAAGCTCTAATTCAGAAAAGAGCAGTTTGTGCAGGTGAAGGAGAGAGTAGAGTAAGCTATCATGCACAAGGCTGCACTTCATAAACTGCAAATAGAGACCTGACCTTTTTAAATTCAGTTGGCTTTAAAAAATAAAAGAATCGCCACAAGCCATTTAGATTAATGGGTACCAACTGCATTGGCACAACAAAGCACCATGAGCTTACCTTTGTTGAAGCCCCATCACTTTCATCATGGCGAGCATACTTGTGCTACTGGTGCCCATAAAAGCTTGTTGGATCAGCATTATACAGTACATTTGCTTTCCTCTATATTAATGCATCACTCTCACTTTGAGCATAACAAGCAAAGATCTGATCTTTTGCCTTAAAAAACTGTTCTTGGGATGCCAGGCTCTGCTGCTTTCTTCAGTTTTAGATTACTGTAATTAAATAAGAGTTACTGGTTGAGTGTAATCATTGATCTTCTAGACAACAAATGAATACCTTCACAAATTTTCAGGTTGCAGCACCACGCAGCTTTATTTTTTTGTGGTGTGGCTCTTCAGAAGGATTAGATCTTGGCCGTCAGTGTCTTCGCAAATGGGGTTTTCGACGTTGTGAAGATATATGCTGGATACGCACTAACATTAGCAATCCAGGACATTTGAAAAATCTTGAACCGAAAGCTGTATTTCAACGAACAAAGGTATTACACAAATATTTTGTTACTTAATGGAATGGATAATGGTAGTCTGATGAAGAGAAAGTGAGTGAATTTGAGGCCAGAGGAGAGGAAGGCATGGATGAAGATGGGCAGGCATGGGATGTGAATTGTGCGAGGATGCGGGGATTGAGTGCGAAATGAGATACAGCACGTGCCTCCTAAGGAGCATCGTACACCGGCTTATTTATTTGTGATGTTGTGTAATGTAAATGAAGTAACAAATGGACAAGTAATTGTTTCCTTTTTACTGTTTATAACCACCTTAGTATTATTTCTCCCTATTTCATGAAAGTGGGAAATGGTATTATGAGAATTAAAAGGGAATAAATGCATCATTAATATTTAGTACAATGATGTTTTCCACTATCTTTCTTCAGCACACTTTGGTAGACAGACAACCATAAACATTTGGGTAGTACTTTGTCTGTGTCTTGCTTTAATACTTGTAAAGAAAATTGTATTATTAAGGTTATACCTTTGAACTGATTGCTTAATAGTATATTAAAATAAAAAACACAATTATGATCAATGCAAGAAAACCAAAGGGACATATATATATATATAGCATTGTTAAATGTATATGTTAACCATTAAACCAGAGAGTGCTAAACATTTACCACCTGACATTCAACTTGAGCATTCACTGAGCCCACCCAGAACACCTAATCATCAACCACCCAGTCCATTTTTCTCAAGTTAGAATTGTCATGAGAAGTCTATACAGTGTGTAGCTACAATACAGTTAGGGAGGAGTAGATAAGGTTATTATAGACCACCAGTTCCAGGGTTAAGTGTAGCTTCCAGTTCGGTTACTCACCAATAATTGAGCATATTTTTAATGTATTGAAGTAAATGGCCAATAATTACATATGATTACATTATATCCCAATATTTACTTTTTGTTTCTTGCTAGAACAACATACAGTGAATAGCATTAAAATGCATTGTGTGCATGAGTTAGGTTTCTAATTATCATAGAGGTACAGTATACTGCATGATGATATATGCAGTATACTGCAGTATACTGCATCTTGGCTTTCGTTATTGTCTTCCAGGAACATTGTCTAATGGGAATAAAGGGTACTGTACGTCGGTCAACTGACGGTGATTTCATCCACGCAAATGTTGACATTGATCTTATAATATCTGAAGAAGCTGAATATGGATCGCTAGAAAAACCAGTGGAAATATTTCACATTATTGAACACTTCTGCCTTGGTCGTCGCAGGTGAGTGGATTTAATGACTATTCCAGAGGTAGTTTCTTTAATTTTTTGTTAGAGAAATGTACAGTATTTATAAAAAATACTTCATAGGATTGTGTGAGGCCATTTTGGGCAAGTCTACAACAAGCATATATAAACTTCATTATAATTTGGATAAAAATGTAATTCTGACAAAAGTACATAATGCTAATTAACATAATTAAAACTGATAATACAGTGCCTAAGATTGTACTGGTACACCCCTATCAAATAGGTGAAGTTGTGTTGAGGAAAAATAGATATCCGAGCCGGAAACCCAGAAGCTATAGAACTCAGTTCGATAGTTTCAGGGAGCCTCCGGGTTTCACCCAAAAAATGACGTTTCATTTCATTCAAAGTTTTTTTTTTTCATGGAATTGTTCATGTCACTCGCTCATCAATTCCCTATTCATATCTTTTAATGATTCAATTCAGAACTTAATCAGGCTTCTGTTTTCCTTTACTTTTAAATTAAAATTATAGCAAATATGGAAGAAACAGGATATTTTAATAAATACCTATCATAATTATGTGTGTAGCATTGGTGTCCATAAACTGTATGGTTAGCCTTGACATAATCCTCCTGCATAGCAGCATTTAAATGTGGATATTTAGTAATCTTTACTGCCTTCCCTCTACATACATGAATGTTATTTTATTTTGTATATAAATTTCTCTTGCAGTAATGGTGTGATTTATATTTTTTAATCTGACTTTAGGTATACCTTTAACTAAGGTTAGCAGCCTGACTACCGATGACCCTACTCATGGTTGGATTAGTAAACAAGATTCTTTTATTCTATCTTTTTATGTTATAATATTTACGTGAAAGTCACAAGGCAATACAAATCAACACTGATATGCAAGATATAATTCAGGACAGTTTTAGTGCCAATGGGCCCCAAAGCTTCATTTGAAGATGGTACTGTTGAGCACTGTAGCCGTTTTGAAATACTGTATATCTTTTCTCTCTCAAAGTGAGTTTTAATTGTTTTCGTTCATAGAATGCTGTCACTTTGAAACTCCAGATAAGCAAACTTTTTTCAGTTGGTCATTATTTCTTTGTTTATAAATTGACTTAAAAAATATATATTTGGATTAAGAAAGAATCACTGGATCTCATTAATAAATATAGACAAATGGTTTGATTGATAGGTTGCACGTGTTTGGCCGTGATAGCACCATTCGTCCTGGCTGGCTCACCCTCGGCCCAGGTCTCACCAGCAGCAACTTTGATCCTGATGTTTATGCAGGCTATTTTACAAGTGGCCAAATTACAACAGGTTGTACCGAGCGCATTGAGGCTCTGCGACCAAAATCTCCTCCTCCGAAGGTAAAAGGAGGACCAGGTGGACGAGGAAGAGGGGGAATGTCTTCGCGAGCAAATTTCACCCGTGGGCGAGGACGAGCAAGATAACCAATTCCTCTCTGTGGTTAGAATTTACTCTTGCCACTTGTATAGAATATGCTACAGGTTGCATCCAACATGCCTTTGATACCATAAATAACTATTTTTGTTGTATGTTTGAAATTACATAGAGGTTATAATACATGTTAAAGTAATTTGTCTAATTTTATTGATACTTGTATAAAACTTTTATACCAAAGTCTGTAATTGAGCTTCTAGGCTCATGTTGTTATAATTAATATTAATTTATGAGTGTTGACCTATGAATATTGCTAGCTTATGTATATGGACAGTATGGCCAAATATCATTAGCAATAGAATCAGGTTTTTATAATTATGCCAGCCCATTAATCATTAATGGGATCTTTTATAATAATGATTCTTAAACAGTGAAAGCAAACAATGTTTATCGGTCACCTTGTGAAGACAACATACATGTATGTAAACAGTGCGCCCCCATAAACAAGAAATAATTGTTAGTTTTTCAAGACTACCTCTCAACCATTTTATCTACAGATTACAATTGTAATGCAAGCCAATAAATTATACAGTGCAGATTCACTTGTTTTACTAATTAGTAATTTAATTATATTTGTAGCTCAGTACAATATAAGATATAAAAAGTGCTCTTGGGGAGGGCTTGTATTGGTGCCTCCTTAATGCTAGCTACCTGGATACCTGCACCCAGTTCAATCCATGCCAGACCCTTGCAAATCACTGTAAGCTTACTGGGGACAAGAGGCCAAAAGCTGAGCCCCCTCTAAAGAGGTACATGGAGCAAGGAATACTAGATCACACTAACCAAGAAAATGGCACTAGAAAGGTAGGTAAGCCTAAAACATTATCAGTAATGTAAACAAGCATAGACAATGAGACAATGAACCACCTGGACATGAAGCAGTTCTCTTGTCGAGGAAGCACACCATCAAGGGACTGCTTGCCTTCCTCCTTGATCTCTTAGCTTTGACACATCATTCATTTGATAGAACACCAGATCCATGAACAATGTTTTTCCCCCCTGCACCACTAGTTGCATGAAGTAATGATGCATGATCACAACTGGACATATTAAGTGATGCAAACTACGCTGAACCAATAAAGCATCAAGCATAAACCCCCAAGGATTCTTCCTTAAAACCAGCCATCTTATTTTTAGCCTGGAAGGAAGTAGATTCTGTAAGTGAAGAAATGACCTCCAGGATCAAAAGAGCAAAACTCCTGCTTCGGAAGTAATGTGTGAAGCTCGCCAACCCAACAATCGGAAGTGAAGGCCAACAAAAATAAATCCTTGACACACAAAACCGAGGAGAAGAAAGAACAACCAAAACCTTGTCTAAAGAGCAATATGACTCGAGAGCATAAGTTCTCGGAAAAAATGAAAAAAAAGAGGTGAAAGGTGAAAAGAAAAAACCTTACAAAATGGGTCCAACGATATGTTGACACCGAATGCCAACAGCAGGACTCCTTGAAAGTCAAATGTCGATGAGAAAGAAAAGGATGGAAGAAGCATCAAGAAACCTCAGAAAAATGTTGCTGCAATGAAAGCTGCACGCAAGACACCAAACGATAAGCCACTTACAGACCGTACAGTGAGTGGTACAGGAGAGCCTTGAACCATCAAGAAACATGTTCAGGCCAATTCTTGGAGCCACAGAAAATGACATGGGTTCAGACAATGAACCCTGAGCTAGAAACCACAGCTTGGCTTGCCAAAAATGAGCCAGCATAAGAACTCTACCAAAGAACATCTACAGTCTGAACAGAATCTGGGGCAACAGCTCAACCAGAATGAAGAGATTAAGAAACTTCATAATATTTCAGTGACAAAAGACACGGGTGAGACACCAATGATTCAGCAACCTGCGTACTGTACAAATGGTGGTAATCAAACATTAAAAATTTCAAGCATATGGATCGGCAGTGGTCAAACCAGCAACGTACTTCACTGCAGTGAGCCTCTGAAAAAGGTGGAGCCATGAAAAAATGCCCCTGCTCAAGCACCAAGAGCTCAGGCATTTTTCAGAAGATACCAGAAGGGTATGGAAACCAAGGCTCAGCCGACAATCAAGGAGTCAGAAAGACCACCTTACCCGAGTGTGCCTCCAGTCAGGGCGATACTCGGAGCAACAACTGAACTGGATGAACCACACCCTCACCTCGATCAGTCCAGCTGGAAGGCACTCATCATGAGAGCCTCGATCAAGGAACAGAGCACATAGAGAAGATACGGGATCCACGCTGATACGAAGACGTCCACCTCAGGGCAACCAACCGTTCCGCAAACCCAATGAAAAAAGTTTTGTACTTTTAATATTTAAGTATTGAGAGCAGTTTTGTTTTGGGAAATTGATTACTACCTTATATTCCACTGATCAATTAAAAAAATCAAGCAAGGTTGTTTTGACTTATGGTGGATCTTGTTACATTATTAGATCTAAAATGGGTCTTTAAGGATTGATAAAAAATAACAGAACAGAATAACAGTTGTACTACAAGTATACAACTGTTCTAATTGAATTATATAATTTATTATGTTTTAGTATCCTCAAAAGGAATACTTTATAATTGTCAGATTTCCTTTACAGGATCATATACAGGTAGTATTATTTTTACCTTTACAACATTTGTGGTGTCCTTGCAATATCTATGGAATGCCTTTGTATCAGCTTGAAACTTTCAAGCCTTTAACAATGACGGTCCATTTTGATACTGTATTGGCTATGAAGCTCTCTGAGGGCAGGGATGAATGTAAGTGATGCCAGTATCTTGGAATTAAATGAGTTGCTACATCAATCTTTATAAACATAAGCTCACAACACCATATGACATGACACTGAATTATATTATTGGTCACATCAGAAATTCATTTTGGTCATGCCAAGATTTAAGAAAAATCTTAATAATGCTTACTCTTTAAAGAGTTAAACTAAAAAAAAACTTTGATGGTATGTTTTAGTCCTTAGATTTTATAGACTGTATATTGAACTATGTGTGAAGTGTTCTTAGTCTTATGAATTAGGGATATTGTAAGGTAGAGGGGAAGTGGGAAAAGTGGTGGATTGTGTGTTGATGAACCGACTATGTGTGAAGTGATCTTACAGTGTTGTATAGATTAGTGATGATGTAGGAGAAGAGGGCAGAAGGGGATAGACACACATATTTTTCACTCTTGATTTTGACAGTCTTTAATAGTGTTCTCAAAGTCCAACTTTAACATAATAACCAATCTATGTTGATAAATGCCAGTGATAATAGGTGACTCTGGCCCATTGTTAATTTTAGCTTTTAATCCTTTTAGGGTTGGAAAATTACCTCTCACCTGCACAGCTTTTACTGTACCAAGTACAGTACAGTGTACTATATGAGCTCTGCTATCTGAACCCTGCTGAACTTTGGGTTATTCAGCCAAAATTGGGTTTAGATGAGATTTTGCAAAACTTTGCAGTATCCAAACAAATTCAGATACAGTAACCAGAGATTTGGTCGGATACCGCAGACTGGCACAAATTTGGATAATTTTCTGCCAAAACTTCTTTGTATCTGAACAGAAATTTGGATAACTGGAGATTAGGTCACAAAAATGTTCAAGATCTACAGTATCAGACAAGAAGACAAACTACAACAAGGTAAGCTGCAGTTTCTCTTTTAAATTATATTTTTTTATTTATAATGTGTTTGTGTAAATAAGAATTATGGTGGTACAACTTTTTTTTAAATACAGTATGGTAATTTTTGGACTTTCCCTGTAAAAATTCTGCTTATCTGAATGTCTGGCTTATCTGGCAGGGATCCTTCTCATATAATTCTGATAAGTGAGCTTAGACAGTATTGACAAACATTAGCATGTTGAAAGACACAACATTTTGGCGAGGAAAGAGCTTAACCCGTGTGTTTATTATTGCACAGGGCACTCCAACTCTTTCCATGAAAAGTCATGTTCTCATTAGGAAAATTTTTGACAAGTAATTTGGTTACCCAAGTTTTCAGTAATTCTGCCACCGACTTAGTGTTGTGAAACATTTATTTAAACAACAGAAACACCACAGTGAATATGGATTCAATGTCATCTGTATAGACATCCATCAATTTGCCAGCTCTACTTGAAATAGTTTCCACTAATAATGAGGACTCAAGGCAGAAACCAAATGCTTTTCATGTGCTTGGTGTGGCATCTTTATTTCAATCAGTAGCTCATCAATATTAAAATGAATGAATGTGTTGAAAATCTAACCCACTGGTTGCTGTTTTCCATGGGTTTCAGCACATGGAATTGGCAGGATGTGTGAAGATCATGAAAGTAAAATATGGCACATAATAGTGCTTCAGGAAATTTACAAAATGCCTTAATCCATCTCTGTCTGAAACCAAGATTTTGTTTAATACTATGATGTCAGTATTTATCTCTCAAATTGAATTCTTGCAGAGGACTGTTCAACTAACTGTATTGAGCTTGTTTTTTCTCTCTCTATGGAGAAACATTCTTATGTTAAGAAACTTTAAGCTGAAGATGTAATTTTCACACATTTCATTAGCAAGGTTGTTTTGACTTATGGTAGAACTTGTTACATTATTAGATCTAAAATGGGTCTTTAAGGATTAATGAAAAATAACAGACCAGCATGTATATTATATTTTAAAAATTGAGTAATTTACCTGAATTTTCCTATAATAAGGCTGTATTAATATGAGAAATGAAGATTACGTACAGTTTTGTATAGAGATGAAATCTCAGTGGTAGATACTTATTCCCTAAACATACATGAATATGTGCTGCAGTGTTAATTATTTTTTAACTTATTTTTAATAAATTATTGCTTAAAAAGACATGAGGAAGGGTTAAGTTAGGATAGATAAATGTGTCATTTTACAAAATAGACATACAAGTTTATTGTTCTTTTACAGAAGCAGTTCCTACTTGTTCTGTTCTCTGGTTTTCTAAGCTAACTTTAAGGTTTGGTCTTCCCATAGGTATAACTTTAGATAGCTTAAAAAAGTGGTTAAGTCCTATGTAATTTATTAAGTAACTCAAATTCTCTTTTTGGGTCATCTTTGTCATTCTTGCAGCCGTCAACCAGTATTGTTTACCCAACCATTAATAATTTAGTTGGTAATCTCTGTACAGTAAACTCATAATATTTAAACAGGTATAAAAGCAAATCCTTATATTGCAGCCTATTCTCTTGATTTGGCACTATGCAAAATAAATGCAACAGTTTTGTCTTACAATAAATGTACAAAACAAAACATAGGCTTCAATCTATTAAGGTAAATGACTGTAAAACATTAATTTGTGCTTTAATGTTGATATGTTGCTTCTTTTAACGCATTGGTCGATTCCATAAAAAGGCAACATATTAGGCTAGAGAACTGGCTGCATATTAACAGGTATCTCCACCCAGCATATGCATTATATCCTTAAAAACCCTTTCGTATGTGATGTGGGGTTGTGAAGCACCATTGATAAAGTGGATGTTGTTAACTGTGTTGCACATCTGGGTGAAGTGTTGCTCATATTGAGGCCAGGCACACAGTTCAAAGTACTGTTCTGAGTTCATACTGACATTGGTGAACACCCTCATCTTCCTCCTCTCCAAACATTGTTCCTTAGTTAGGGTGATAAAGTAGAGGAGATCACAGAACTGGGGCACCTCAGGATGATTGAACAACAAAAAGCCATCCAGAAGCAGTACTGATGAAAGATGTGACTTTTCCTTGTGTCCAATAAATGGCGGTCTTGGTATATTTAATGCTGATCCAATAATTTTACTCCGATTATGTATCTCGTCATAATCCACAAAGTTTATATCTCTTCCATCTGTTGCCAGAATTTGCTTGATATCTGCAATCATCTTTGTCATGTCGATGCTAGCTAAAGAATCTTTGTTATAACCCTTTAGAGGTTCAGGAGCTTTCAGATGAGCATTGGAGTGGTCAGGGAGTATATACTCATCTTGGGTCAGATAAAGAGTTGTGGTCGGGAGGGACGCAAGTAATTGGTTCGCTAGAGTAGTCTTCCCACCACCAGTTGCTCCTGACAAGCCAACCACTCTCCACCCAGAGCTACTAGTCTTAGCTTGAAGTTCCTCATGCAGTGTGTAAAGGTTCAGAAGCGCCATATTTCTCTGGAATCCGTATCTGAAAGTAAATTCTTGTATTACCTACAAGGATATAACAAACTAGAGTGTGCACGAACTTACATAATTTTTTGATGGGTACAATTGTGATTCTGTAATTACAGTATTGTGATTGGAGTCAAAATCCACCACTCATTAAAAGTTGAACAACAGGTGGGTGCAGCAGTCAGAAAAGCTAACCAAACTCTTGGGATAATCAAGCATACTTTTGACTATAAGGAAAAGAAGGTAATGGTTCAACTGTATAAATCAATGGTGTGCCCCAATTTGGATTACTGTATCCAAGCATGGAAGGCCTCATTTTCAGAAGGACATAGCTGCTCTGGAGAAGGTGCAACACCAAGCAACAAAAGTCTTTCCAGAGCGAAGTCATCTCTCGTATTAAGAGTGCTTGAAGGCCACAGGGCTAACAACACTGCAAACCAAGCAATTAGAGGGCGGCTCTCATTGAAACTTTTAAAATACTTAACAAGTTAGAGGATGTTGATCCTGATATTTTCTTCAGAAGGTCAGATGTACCACAAACGTGGTACAACGGTTTCAAACTCAACAAGCCACAATGTAGGACTGAGAACAGGAGATGCTTTTTCACCCACAGGGTTATTAACCCATAGAACCGCCTACCCGCTGATGCCGTAACTGCTAAAACTGTTGGGTTTTAAAATATACCTGTAAAAGATCATCAATGCAAATGGGGGACCTTCGACAAGCCGCCAGCTTCCTGTCCTCGTCGAGGCCACTAGGGTTAGTGGCTCTCAGGTAAAAAAATCAGGTAATGTGCATTTTGGTGCACTGAAGGGTTTGTTAAAGATTGTTCTGTAATTGTTCTTCATTAAGGATGCATAAACCCAGGAGACTGCCTACCCGTCAAAGCCGTAGATACCAGTACTGTTTAATTTTAAAATCCAGATGGAAAAAATCAGGGCAAATGGGGGACCTTTGACAACCCGCCGGCTTCCTGCCCTCGTCGAGGCCACTAGTGTGTTAATGGCCCTCAGGTAACTTGAGTTTAATGATATATAGACAAATATAGCCATAAAAAAGTATTTGAAAGTGTCGAAAATTTAACAAGCTGAACTTTCCATAGTATCTAATAACAGAAACATGAAGCCTACGGAAGTCTCCCTTGTGTGATAATTTGGAGTCAGGGCCACAACATGGGGTGAAGGGCTCGGTGCACAGATATGGACAAATTTCGTAGCAGTGAACTTTCCCTGGAGACTATAATGCAACAGCTTACACTCAGCCTCTCTATTGCTGTGGTTAGTGAAGTACCTCTGATTGTATTATTAAATGTCTAGCTAATGAAAATGATTATTATAGAATTTTCATTGATTTACAAGGAGCTTTTGATAAAGCCAACAAAGAGGTTATTTTATATGAATTAGCTAGTCTTGGTGTTAAAGGAAAATTATTGCGCTGGATAGGGGATTATCTTTACGACAGGAAGGCTCAGGTGTGGTATCAAGGTTGTATGTCAGGTGTGAGGTCTTTTGAACTCGGCACACCTCAGGGAGGAGTGTTGAGTCCCACCCTGTTTAATGTACTAATGAATAAGATAGCATCTGAGAGATACTCAAATGGGGTAACTCCGATCATATATGCCGATGATATTTTGTTTCAGGGCAAAGATATTTCAAAGGTTCAAACAGTGTTGGACAATTTCGGAAACCTGTGTCACCATATGGGATTGGTGGATAATGAAAACAAAACTAAGTTTGAATGTAGAAGTCGGAGCCCCATTGTTTTGAAAATAAACGATAAAAATATAGAGAGAGTTAATATATATAAATATTTAGGCTTATATGTTGGATATACCCATGAGAGTTTGGAAGCTGAGATGAACAGACTGTTGTGTCAATGACGGAAGAGATTACAACCTCTGAAGGCTTTGGCATGCTGTGGAACGGGAGTGGGAGTCCCTGTGCTACGAATGTTATACTTGAGGTTGTTGACCAGACCACACACTAAAAGTTGAAGGGACGACGACGTATCGGTCCGTCCTGGACCATTCTCAAGTCGATTGTGATGAGGACAAATTGATTGATTGATAAAGATTAAGCCACCCAAGAGGTGGCTTAATGAGGACAGGTAGGGACAGGCAATAAATAGGCTAGAGAAGCTGAGGAGGAAAGTAAGGTGTAGGGGATAGTAGTAATAATGAGAACTGCAGAAGGCCTATTGGCCCATACGAGGCAGCTCCCATTATAACCACCGAAGGAGATAGTAATAGGAATAAGAAGAGGATAGCAAGGGAGCGTTATACTTGAGTACTGTAAGATCTCTTATTGATTATGCTGTACCTGTCATTTCTTGTTTTGGTAAAGGTAGGATGGGCAAGTTGGAGAAGGTACAAAATGAAGCAATGAGAATTATCTTAGGATGCCCAAGAAATGCTATGATTGAGATAATGAGGATGGAGTTGAATCTGCAGAGTATTGGGGATAGAATTTCAGAGATAAATGTAGCCTCTGCCATTAGATTAATGAGAGGTGGGGGAGCTAATGAATTAATCCTCTCGGTTCAAAAGGTGGGAAGTAGTGAACAGTGTATGATGAAGAAGAGAGTATATATATGAATAAATTATGTTATAAAGTATGATGTTATTACAGAGTGTATTGCTGTGCCCAAGAGAAAATTTACACCACCATGGGAGGATTGTAATGTAGATGTAGTAATTACTCCTTTGCATAAGAAAAAAAGTATGTATGAAATAGGAGAGCTGAGGGCAACATATGATTGTATAATTAGAAAACTGCCTACGGAAAACACTCTACATGTATATTGTGATGGGTCAGTAGCTAGGGATGGGAAGGCAGGATGTGGAGTCTTGATCAGGGAGTACACTGACATCGGCACTGTAGATACTGTTATTGGACGCTGCTTAACTGACAATGTCTCTTCAACGCAGGCTGAACTCCAAGGAGTATTAGCAGGATTACAGGAAGTAGTCAAATGTGGTAAAAATGCTTGCTTCTTTATTGCCAGCAGAGGAGCGTTAGAGTCTTTAAATAGCAGACGCCCAGTATATCAGAATATTGTGATAGAGTGTAGAGAGAATGTTAAGAGACTAGAAAAAACTGGGTATAAAGTAAGATTCATGTGGATCCCTTCACATGTGGGAATACTGTTGAATGAGGTAGTTGATGACATAGCGAAGAGAGCCACTGAAAAAACTCTTGTTGATGTTGTATGTCAGTTAACCTTGAAACAAATAAAAACAAGACTCAAGGTGATTCAGGAGGGTGAAGAAATGATAAAGAGAATGGCAATGGTGGACAGTAGTAACACACTTAAGAATTATTCAATAATAAATACAAATTCGTCCTTCACTTAATTATGGTAAAGGAAAGTCTACTTGGAAGGATTCAATTTACATGAGATTACGATTAGGATATAAATATATCTGGCAATACGGTGTTGATGTCAGTGAAAAAGATAAGGAGTGTAAATTATGTAGTATGCCGTACGCCCACACCTTAGAACATTATGTATTAGAGTGTCACCTTATTGAAAAATATAGAAATAAGGAAATAAATAGTGTACCACATCAAATTGTTTGGATGTGTGATAATGGTATAATAGACAGTATACTTAGGAGCTACAAGAATGTAACAACTATATGCTGTACTTGCTGTATGCAATGTTAAATGGGATTCTTGTACTGTTATATGTCTATTTGTACTCACTGAATTTGTGCGCCCCTTGAGGGACTTGAAGTAGAGGGGGGTAGAAATAGCCTAAGCTACTCTATCCCTTTGAGATGTATTTATTGCTTATCTCAATAAACATACTTGAACTTGAACGTAGGCTTCTGCATTCCAATAGGGGCCACGCCGTCTCCGTCCCGGTTTATATAACCTTGGCTCAATGCGCGCGCAGCTTGGGGCGGTTAAAGTCAGCTTCCAGACATACGTTCTCTTCCACTCAGAAAACCCACCGTTTTGGGGAATAACAGTGTTCTTAAATAGTCGATTTACAAACCTAACATTGGATTTATAGATAGAGCTAGTACATACAATACCTAAAGCCACTAGTACGCATAGCGTTTCGGGCATATTATTGAGAGAGGAAAGATATTTATATTTAAACAATTTTTTTTTTTTACCGACGCTCTCCCTATTGATGAGAACTACAACCTAATGAAGATAAATGTTGACCAGACCACACACTAGAAATTGAAGGGACGACGACGTTTCGGTCCGTCCTGGACCATTCTCAAGTCGATTGTCGACTTGAGAATGGCAGATATATACGACTAATGGCAGATATATACTTCAGCCACGTTATTGTGACTCATCGCCTGCAAGATAAATGTTAATTTTATGTAGATACTGTAATAAACGAAAGTTTTTAATGTCATCAGAGAAGCAGAAATATAGGCAAATTTTAAATCCCTTGTCATAAATATAACTGAAGTGAAAGTAAAGATATATGCATTTTGATAGTTACAAAGACAGCTCTTTAACACGGGTGGAACACGAACAAGGGGAACTTAGTACCCAAATGAGCCACAGAGATATTAGAAAGAATTTTTTCAGTGTCAGAGTTGTTAACAAATGGAATGTATTAAGCAGTGATGTGGTGGAGGCTGACTCCATACACAATTTCAAATGTAGATGTGATATATAGAGCCCAATAGGCTCAGGAACCTGTACACCTGTTGATTGACGGTTGAGAGTCGGGACCAAAGAACCAAAGCTCAACCCCTGCAAGCACAAATTAGGTGAGTACAACTAGGTGAATACAGCTGAGGGGCGGGACCAAACAGCTGAAGCTCAATTCCCTACGCATAACTAGGCGAGTCCATAGGAATTACCGTTTGTCCTGGCGCATCTATGTTTTGACAGCAGTACTACTAATGTTCCCACGTTATGTGATGATCGCTATACGTGTTACGGTCAGTTGCTCTTCTATATATGTTTATGGACAACGTAGGTGATTTGAGGCAATTTGCGGCCAGAGTGAAATAGTATCCACGCGGTGAGTGATGGAGGAGGATATATACTGCTGTGTACTCGACCAGCGGGTGAGAGGTAAGTTATATCGAACAATTATGGGGAATAGATGGGTTATTTTAAGCGTAGAATGTCAGGTAACCGGTAACTACACAGATTGGGTAGTGTTTTTTTAAGTCTTTATTTACTAAAGTGGAACATTACATTATGCCTTTAGCTGAACAAGTCTACTGGTGGGGGAAGTAGACTGGTTTTATGGAAGTATTTTACCTAAATATTTGTATTTGGTTAACTAGTTCAGCCGTTACCAGGGAGGGTGTTCCTTTAATCTAATCTAAAAATTCTAGCCGGACAAAGTGATTAAATAAATTGAATAGAACGAAGTGGTTTGCCAGGGTGCTTAACATTTAGTTTAGTTCACTTACTATGCAGCCCATGCTTAAAGAATGCAAGTTTATCATATTGAATTTACCGTAGTTTTACTACATTTAATATACCGTTTTTACCCTATTTAATTATGTCTGGTAAAGGCCGGTCGTGGAAAGTTCCTAATATAGCAAGTTTTAAAGGAAAAGTTTGAATTAACTTTAACGCTTAAGTTAGTGACCAATTAGCTTAGTCTATTGTGAGGAAAGTTACTAGAATCTAACATTGCAAGTGCCATTTCTCTACTTTTTGAGAAACATGACTAGATATATGAATCTCATAGTTTTATTACTAAATGTTCGTGGATTAGGTTGCATAGTTGAGGAAATGGTGATAAGGTTTGTGATTTTGTGTACCTTGACTTCAGCAGAGATTTTGATAGTGGCGCAAAATTGATAGGGGCTCGGATCATTGGGAATGCTGACTGAAGTTGATTAGGTCATGGCTATACCAAAGGAAATTAGTATAAATGGGGTTAAGTTGGGAGAAGTGTTGTAAGTAGTGCCTAAAAGCTCTCCTTGGACCTCGGTTATTCGCAAGATTATGGTTTAGACTGCAATAGTTGCAGAATTGGCAAATAAAAAATACCGATGCCCTATATAGTTTTGAAATGGTTAAGACTACCAGATGCAGTTTAATGCTGACAAATGTAAGGTTTGGGGGCTAGGTAAAGATGAGATAGATGGTGTAGATTGTTAAGAGTATTAAATTTTTTGCAGGTGGTAAATTCTCCCCGAGCTGGCACTGCTCTCCAGCCTGGGATGTTGATTTGTTGGTCTTCAACTGCCTCCCAACATGGTAGTGAGGTCCTGAGCTGACATGCAGTGAGGAACGTGGAAAGCTTCCTGAATTGGCACATGGTATGCCTCCCTTTCAAACCAGCAGCTGGCACAAATGTTCCAGCTAACATCAGAATAGTGGATGAAGCCCACACTAAAATGTAAGTGGTACAGTAAATGGACACCCCCCCCCCCCCCCTCCCTTTTGACACTGAACAGTTGGGAGGAAGGGGGGGGGGAGGGAGAAAGTAAGTGTGGCTTATAGTTCTATTGGTACAGAATCTTTTGCCATAAGCCAGTGGCAGTGCCTATTGGCACTTGCTATTCAGAATCTCTCTCTTACATAGTTTGGCTTTAAATCTGAAATTAATTTGTTGAAATATTTTTCAGGTGAAAGTGATTATGATGCATGGACTGGCTTGGAGTGAGGCTCCTTTACTCTGCAAAAGGAAATCTACAAAAGTGGGTGAGTTTGAATTTGATGTTTTGGCTATATCAATGACCTAATCTTAATTCTCTTATCTAGTCCATTTATAGGTGTGTAACCATGTCCTCCTATTACAACCCATGGGGGATGATGCAGTTTGTACTGATCCTACCCCCATTTCATGAAAGGGGACCAGGCAGTCCTGCAGAATTCCCTGGCTTGGCTCTACTACCCATCTAATAGATGGACTAGATTTGCATAGGTTTAGGGACCCTTAACAATGGTTACATTGTTAATTCTCACAGGGCTTGTTTGCTGAATGGGTGAATGCATCTAAAACCTTAGTGCCTGGCATGCATTGTACAGTGCTTTCAGTAAAGCATATGTACAATGTGTTGATGGCACTAAAGTGGTGGATGTAATGCACCCATTCAGGGAACAAGCTCTGCACTAAAATCAGAGGAAGGGATAGGCCTTGCTGAGCCAATCTTAAAAGATTGGCTGTTAGGATTTTTTGGGCTTATTATTAGGCATTGGTGATAATAAAAGTAGTGTCCCTGTTTAATGTTTATTTTTCTTTTACAGGTGATTGTCTCTTGAGTTGTCTTTGCCTTTTGGATCTTCTGTTCATCTAGGAGCATCTGTCCCACAACCTGAAACGGTAATAAATATTAGATGTATTATAAATACTATATGTAAAACTTATTTAATAAAAATTTTAATGAAACTACTTTATATACCTTATCCTGAAATTATGCTGAAAATTATTGTTTACTACTATTGATGCAGTGTTTAAACATCTGAATTTTTTTTACTTTTGAAAATAAATACTTGGTAAAATTTACACCTATTTGTAACTTGTTACATAGGTGCATTGAAAAGATGTAAAAGTGGACTACCTACTCAATTTACATAAACTAACAAATACTGCAAATTAGTCTGAAATATTAAAGTGGAAGAAACTTTAGTCAATATTTTAATTTTCATATTTGAAAGCTTGGGTGTTGCATAGCTTTAAATTTACTTTAGTTAATTTAATCATAATTTGTACAAAGATCATTGTTAAATTTACAAAACATTAGAAAAGTGACATTGAAGCATCTATACAACATGGTTTTCACAAAGTCTTTGGTAACTTAAATTTAATCAAAGCTCTTAAATGATTTGTCTGCCGAACTTCAGATATTCTGAAATATTTTACCTAGATTAAAACCATCATTGTTTGAAAGGGCAAAACAGATTACTGTAAATTAGTTTGACCTAACATCTGCAAGGTCCTGAAAGAATGGAATTTTTTTTGTAAAACTTTTTGCTAAAAACAAACCCTGCCTAATGAACCTGCTCATTTTTTTTAGAAATGGTAATTGCAACATTACCAAAGGCCATTGTTTTAATAGCCAAAGTACCAAATGAAAGACCAAGAAGCAACAAACAGGTACATGGTAGAAAGGACAAAAGAATGGTTACGAGGACCCTTTCATTTGTTAAAGAAATGACTGTGAAAAATGCTGTCATACCACAAGGGGTCTTAACCCTTGTCATATACATCAGACATTAATCTAAATATTACCAACCACAAAAATTGCTGATAACATGTTATAAAAAAAATAAAGAATATAATATTGAGGCCTTAATGCAGATCTCTAACTCTACAAATAGTAACAAGACTGGCAATTTCTTAATATAAAACAGAAAAAAATCAAAGACCTTGCACGTGAGCCAGAACAATCCATATCACAACTACCACATTAAAATGAAACAACAATGAAGGTAAGGTAATTACCAAAAGAAGGCACCAAACCGGGAAGGCCATGTAGCACCATCAAAGTGCGAAATAATCAGAGGGTGCTAAACATCACCAAGAATGCCAATACGAGAACAGAAACGCATATGGTGAACGATATCAAAAGTATCCGATTCACCTAGAATTCTATCGAGGGACAAGTGACTGCGAGGGACGGTCGGAAAGCAAGACACACGCTCGTCCTGGAAGTCAGAACATTCAACAAGGATATGCACAACTGTAAGAGGGACAACGCAATTCGGACAATAAGGAGCAGGGCGGCGCTCCATTAAGTGACCGTGGGTTAAGCGGGTATGACCAACCCACCACCGGTTACGGTGGTAGGAGGAAGGCCACGGGGACACACTAAGTTTGAGAGTACGCAGCTTGTTACCAACCACAGAGGACCAACAACCCTGCCAACGGGGAAGAATGAATAACAGGATAAAAGTCGG